CTAGTGCAGTGGAAACTGTAATTGTGAACACAGGCAGGAGGATAAAACCTTGTTTCTAACTGACTTCAGGACAGTGAAGAGCCAGGGTCAGATCCTGTGCTCCAATTGTGTTCTGTCCCCAAGCACTGAGACACAAGCACATCATCATCTCACCTGCAGAAACTCAGTGGCAAGTTCAGCAAGCACAGTGAGCACTTGGGATGCTTGTTTCCTCCAGATCCTACTGACTTTTCTAGTTTTTCTCCCCTATGTGTACACGTGTGTGAGAGTACTTATGTGTGTGTGCACATGCATATGTGGAGGCTCAAGGTTGACATCCAATGTCCCCCTTGATCACTCTTCACTTTATCTACAGAGGCAGCCTCTCTCATTCAGTCTCGAGTTTGCCATTTGGCTAGTATGACTTGTTAGCTTGCTCCAGCGAGTCCTTAACTGGGCAGCAGTACACTGGGATTACAGATGGGGCACAATGCCCACATGGCACCTGAATGAGTGCCTGGGATCTGGACCCTGGTCCTCATATCTGTACAACAAGTACTTTACCCACTAAATCATTCCCCCAACCCTCCCCACAGCTTTTGGTTTAGGTATGTACTGACCAAGCTCATGTTGGGTAACTCCACCCCACATCCTTACCAGCTGCCAGCACATATTTACAGCTATGAATCTGGGGTAGAGCCACCGATCTGCTGAAAGAGCTGCAAATGTGAGAGGAAGAGCTGCACTAAAACATTTTCAGACACTGAGAGAGACCAGATGACATCAGTTCTTAGGCATGGCAATGCCACCATGGTTATATTGAAAGATTTTAGTTTGCAGAGCAAGGATGTAGGAAAGGGGCAGGAGAATAATTCTTGCAAGTGGAATATAGAAAATCATAAAGAATGGATGTTGACATGGGAGGAAAAAACAGGAATTAAGAGAACAAGAAAGGTTATTATGGTGATGGGGCAAGTGGTTATATGCTAGACTGATCATGTTAAATAGGGCTAGTTACTAAATTAATCATCAAACAGTGGTGGAATAACTGAAGGCTCTAAATGTACAGCCAAGAGAAAGCCAGAGTATGAGAAAAGTTTCTCACAGGTCTTGGCCCACAACAAGGAAATAGGCCCCCAACCCTGGAACAAATGATTCCAGATGAACAGCCCTGTCTGGGTCATTCCTGGTCAAAGGACAGTCTGGGGACTTTCCAAGTCATTCTATGGTTTATCCTTTGAATAAGAACAGGTCATACCTGGGTGGTCTCTCAAACTCATGTTTTGTAATCATACTTTGTAATCAATCACCTTGTGCCCCATGCATGTATGCTGATTTGCGGTCTTTCTCTATAAAAAGGAGCCTAAACACTTTGAGGGGTGTGCAGCTTTCCCCAAGATTGCTGTCACCCAAGTGCACTCCTTCAATCAATACCTCTTGCTTGTTGCATCTCCTGGTTTTAGTGTTTGTGTCGGGGAGCTCTCCCACCAGCCCATCAGGACCCCGGAATTAGGGTCCAACAATGTGACTTTTGTTTTGAAAAAATCCCGGGGCTCAGTGTACTGCTTGTGCAGAGGACCCAAGTTCAGTTACTAGCACTCAAGTCAGGCAGCTCTCAAATATCTCTATCTTCAGTCCCAGAAGCTCTGACACCATCTTCTGACTTTGAAGGCATTTGCAGGCTCCCTAGTTCTTAAAAATGAATTCTTTCTGGGTATGGTAGCACACACCTTTAATTCCAGCACTCAGGAGGCAGGGGCAGGAGGATCTCTCAGTTTGTGGCCAGCCTGGTCTACAAAGTTCCAGGATAGCCAGAGCTACACAGAAAAACCCTGTCTCAAACAAACAAACAAACAATTTTCAGAAGTATATATTGAATTATTCATAAAGGGAATATAAAGTCTAGGATTTGCTTCAAACTAGGGGGTGTCTGAGGCTGAGTAATGAATTTTAGAACGAGAGTTAAGGCTATTCTTATCAGACCAAGCTTTTCTTACTACATTCCTCCAGGGTGAGACCAAAAAGATATACACTCTAGTGGCTGTTCTGGGGTTGTGATAGCTACTGTTAGTTGTCAACTTGACTGTATACTAAAATATAACTCAAAAAAAGGTCCAGAAGCCCAGGGTTTCTCCCCTTGGTACTGTATAGCACGATGCTTCAGATCACTAATTACAATGCCTCTTGATTCATATACCCTCCTCCCCAATTCCACTTACACTACAGCCCGAGGGTAAGAGAGTTGCCACAATCTGGTCAGTAGTCCCAGGCCAGTCAGAGCCACCAAGTTCAAGTTAATGTCAGCAGTCACCACTAAAGGCCGCTTTAAAAATCTCAACATTTTGCAGAAAAGCAAGCTCGGGAGGGCACCCTGGAAAAGAGGGGAAGAACTTCCATTAAAAGTAAATGGAGAGCAGCCCAGAAAGTTTCAAGACAGACTACAAGGATGCTGAAGGGGCCTATCTCTGCGATACACTAAGGAAGAATTACAGCATAGTGAGTTAATCAAGTCAGAAGGGCTCTTTTAGAACATACTTTGTGGAGGATCACCGTCCTCAAGCACAGGGTCCACATAAAGATGGGGACCACATAAAGATATTTGAGGGATGAATTCAGGAAACTCAGATCAGGACATTCACTCATTTCTATAAGTCATTCTATAACCCTTTCTGGGCACTTGCTAGGAGTGAGGTTGCTAATGAATAATGTGGCCTCTCGTCCCTTCCCAGAGTGGCTGCAAACTAACCCCTACTCTGGGGAGTTCTGGGTGACCTGGATGGACCTTCCCGTCCTCTCCCGGGGGCATTCCTCTCCTCCTAGACTTGCACCTGCCCCGAGTCCCTTCTTTCCCTACAGCTCTGTCCACCCGGGCTCTTTTCCATCCGAGGACCGCCCTGGAACCGACCTTCTCCGCCGGAACCTCCACCGACCCTAGGGCGCCGGCCCCAACCCCGAGTAGGATTCCTGAGCCCCAGGAGGGCTCTCAATCTGCCACTCCAAAACCTACTAGCGTTTCTTCGAGTCCTGCCCAGTGGCTCCCCATGTGGGGCCGCGCCTGCGAACCGCCTGGCAGGCTCGACCGTTGGGGGTGAGGCCGCTGCGCAATCCGCACCGTCCACCGACGGACGCTCAACTAGTCGTTCCTGCGAGTCCCGACACACTTAGCGGCGCGCGTGCGCAGCAGGAGCGCAGCTTAGAAGCGCGCGTGCGCGGCGATCCCAGCCAGCGTGAATGTGGAAGGCGGTAACAATTGTCCCGCGACGTCTCAGCTCCCTAAGCGCACGCGTTGCGGGTTTAAAAAAAAAAAAAAACACTGTGTTCTCCCACTAGCTCTTCGCGTACTTGTAGCTCCCTGTTTCGGGTCTCGCGCCGACCCGGTCCAGCGTTCTTGGCTGAGGAAAGGCTCGGGTTAGTGCTTTGAAGCCGCGGGTGCACTAAGCTGCCTGGGACTGGGCAGACAGAGGTGGAACGTTTTTTCTCATCAACTCTTCTCACACTAGTCTACTCCACCCCCATCCCTTTCAGGGTTCCAGATTCACTTATGTCGCCAAGGATGACCTTGAGGTTCTGTTTCTATGATTCTGCCTTCCCACCCACCGTAGGTATTAAAAGAATGCCTTTTTAGGTGGGTTCTTGGAATCACATTCAGATTCTCATGCTTAGCTGGCAAGCCCTGCCTGTAACGACTGAACTATCTCCCCAGATCTCGAATCATGTCTCATTTTTGTCAAAATCCATGTTTTTGTTTTTTCAAGTTAGCTCTTTATTAAATAACATCCAGAATGTAGTATGCCTGAGAGATCACCCAGTGGTTAAAAGACTGCCTTTTGAGTGCTGGGATTAAAGGAATGCACCACCACTGTCTGGCTTTTTTTTTTTTTTTTTTTTTTTTTTTTTTTGTTCAGACAGGGTTTCTCTGTATTGCGTTGGTGCCTGTCCTAGAACTTGCTCTGTAGGGCCTCGAACACACAGAGATCCGCCTGCCTCTGCATCCCTAATGCTGAGATTAAAGGCGAGCAACACCAGGGTCCGGCTCTGGCCTTCTTGTTGCCTGCCTGGTGCCTGAAGAGGCCAACCTCTAACTACAGTTAGATGTTTGTGAGCTGCTATGTGGGTGCTGAAAATCGAACCCAGATCCTCTCCAAGGAGCAAGAAAGCCTTGTACCAAGGCTACACATTGCACTGAGCGCACAGCTTAGTACAACCACCTGGACCCATCTGAATCTGTGACCCTTTCCTGCCCCAGACTTAATCCATTTTTTTCTTCCTAAGCTATTCTTTCACAGTGGTTCCTGTAGAAGTCCATATAGGAGTCAGACAGGGACATACAGGATGCACATAGTTGGTCCACAGGGAGGACCAGGCTTCTTAGTGCTGCCCACTTTCAAGATGTACCTTAACCATGCCTCCATGCTCTGATAGGAGCCCTCAGACTCAGGAAAAGAAAAACTGCATATAGGCTAACTAACATTCATAGCCATGTATGTATACATGTGCATATTATATAAACTATATACTGTATGATCTGTAGCCTCTTCCTTGCTTAGTAAGCCTTCTCAGAGACTCTGAAAGAAGAGAGACCGTTGTGAGTTTCAGGGTCTGCTAAATTTCTTTTTGAGACCTTGGTACTTTCCTCCAAGTTATTTTCCATCCACATTGATGAAATCTTTAGAAGACAAGGTTTCTCTGTAGCCTTGGAGTCTGTCCTGGAACTTAATTTGTAGACCAAGCTAGCCTCCAACTCTGCCTCGCAAGGGCTAGGATTAAAGGTATGTGCCACCATAGCTTGCCTGGACCACGTTAAGGGTTTTCAATACCCTGTACAATTATGGGAGACAAAGAAGCAAGAGTCCCACAGAGACTGATGGTGTAATTCAGCCTCAGTCTGAAGACTCCTGCTGTCACTGGAACCTGACCACAGCGATGCACTGAGCTAGGGCATTTCAGCCATTCCTAGTTTTAAGCTGTGAGAACAGTAGAACTCTTCCATCTTCCCAATGACTGAGAAATAAAACTGACACAGCCTGAGAAAGCATGTTTGGCTTTATTTTTTTTTATACTTTTTTTTATTTAAATAAGGAGAGTTCTTTCATACGGAAAGAGCTAGTACAATCACATATTTGAAAGGAGAAACAACAGGGACTGAATCGGAGGGAAGGGACGGTGAGGGTGAATTCACGGTTCCATTTCCCATCCGAGGTAAGAGGTTCCCCAAATCACGTCTAAACAAGCTGCACAGTACACCTTTAGCATCGTCTGCCCTTTCAAATATCTGGTCTAAGCGAAAAGACAGGAAAGGCCAAAAAAAAAAAAAAAAAAGGGCCCTCAAAAAGAGCACCCCCCCCCCAACCCTTTTCCTCAAAAGGTATGAGGTTGAAAACTGAGGGCACAGGACTCCTTTCAACAAGTGAGGAGCCTTGCCCAGAGCCTTCACAGGAGCTGCTACTCTGGATTGTGACATGCCAAAGATGGGGCCTTGGGATGTTGCAGGTCTGAAGCAGGTCAGTCATAGGTGTCACATGCCTGGAAGGTCAGTAGCCGGAGCTGGTGGGCCTGGTGGAGAGCACAGCTAGGTGACAGTGCTCATCCCCAACACTGAGCCACTTTGTTCCAGATGACCTAACTTGTGTTAGAGCCATCTCACAAAGAGAGCTAGCTTTCTGTAAGTCTGGATTTCCCACTCATGAAAGAATACAACAGAAAACACACTTATGTCCACTTGGTTGTACGATCCTCACGGGCCCTCTAACCCGGGGTTGCATTGCTGGAAATGAGGACGAAATGTACTTCAATACATGGCAGAGGGGGACCTAATGGATGCCAGGGTATGGGGGGAAGCTTAACCAGAGTTGCCTCAAGGCCTCAGCAGGCACACTCTTGTGCCTTGGACTGAGTATCAATCATTTATAACTTCATCACTGCCCATCTGGAAGGTAACTCCAGAAGACAGGAGACCAATGTTGAAATTGACACATTGTCCTAGTATCTCTAGCAGCAGCAGAGCGACCATGGCTTTAGAACTGAACCAGCTTTTCAGAATGTGTAATGCAATCATCCTTTGTTTTCCCCCTTAAACAATCTATGCCCAGAAGTGTTGTGTGAACTCTGATTTTGAAAATGGTAAACTTGGGAATAAACAAGGAAAGCAACTGTTGGACCAGACTAAAGGCAGCTGGTAGCAGCCTTCAGTTGATACTTGTCACATGCTGAACGGACCACCAGGACCAACAGGACTGAAAAATTCATGGTTGGCAAGCCATGGATCACTCCATCAGTGGCCCCAACAAAGCCACCAGTATTAGGTGACTTTACCAGGCAGAAGTAAACAATTCTGCCTCACCTCCATGTATCTCAGCAGTAGCAAAGGCAAGTGCTGGGTTTTGCCTGCTCCCATTAAAGGCCACAGCATCTTGACAGAGCTCTGATGTTTTTATCTATGATCTGAAGATGAGGGTTTGAAACCAAAATAAGACCCCAAGTCCTATTATACCATGAGCTTGGCTCTAAAAACCACATGAAGAGATATTGCACCTTATAATGTCTCTGCACTAAAAACTTGGCTTGACCAGATAGATCACACGAGGGCCAGGGACATTTAGAGGCCTGAAGCCTGCCCTCTGTCCCCAGGATCTAATTGCAAATGTGCACCTCAGAGGGGAAGAGACCACAGCTGAGGTTACAGAGGTGGCGAGCACACCAAATTTCACATGCAATTTCCTGGCCTTTCCTGCACAGTAATTCAGACATTAAACAGAGCAGTGGGACATTTACTTTTTTTTCTTCCTAGACCTACAACATCAATACATATAAATAAATTCTAGTGTTTCTTGTCTTTATTTGGGGTGGGAGGCAGGAGGGATATACAGGGTGATAGAAAGGACTGAAAACAGGCAACCTCCTAATTTTTCTTCTCAAACAGCAAGTACTGCCATTCTGACAGCAGGCTACCTAAAAAGGGCACAGCAACCTGGCCTGAAATTCTGAAGGAGAAAACGCTTCTTTAGACACACAATGTCCACCAGCATCAGGTGATGTGAGTGGCCACATTTCTAAGGACAGGCAGAGGTGACTCTGGCTTTTTACCGAGACTTGGCAGCGGGGCAGAGGACTCAATCACTGGGACAGTAACCAGACACTTCCAGGGTGAGTGGACAGCAGATGAGGGGCTCTAAGTGGGCAGTGCTTCTGATGAGGGATGCAGAAGAGATGGGACAAAGACATGAATGAAGTTGGAGCACAGGCAAGGAGGGAGAGTGGCTGAGACTAGAGATGCAGTGAAGCTTTTCCTAAGACTGCCCTGTCCAGGCAAGCCTGGGGACAGTGGCATTACTTACTGGGGGAAGCTGACTTTTGCTTCCTTCTAACAAGTAACAAGGCAGTGTGAAGCCATTGCAGAGCTTCTAAGATGCTTCTCTGCTCTCACATCCATGCTAACTAGGATAGATGACTTGTCCCAGCCCTGCCACCAACTGTGAGCACAACTGAGGCAGGTGGTTGTCCCCAGCATCCCCAAGTGGGTGATGACCTGGGCAATCCTGAAGAGCATCTGAGCAGAGTGACATTCCCCCTTCACTTTCCTTTGGTGGGCATCGGGAAGATTGCCTTGTTCTCAGTGAAAGCAAGAAGCTCAGCATACAGGAGTTCACACAAAACCAGTCAAGAAACAAGAAACCATCCTCTTAGGGAAGGAGGCTACTTAGGCTTCTCTGCCTGCCCAATTGTCTAAGGACAGGCAACTTGGCGACCAACTGCCAGCATCCTGCTCTGTTGCTAGAAGTGAAGGACATAAGGAAATGTCCCATAGCCTTTCCTGTTGCAAACTTTAACAGGTGCCCATCTACGTCTTTGTCCTGATTTTGGTGATAAGCTGTGAGGGGTGGATGGACAGGGACACAGCAGGAAGAGGAAAGGGAATGAGTGGGGGAACACAGCCATCCAGAGGTCAAGGCACAGAGCCTCAAATGCAGTCTCCAAGTGGGGCCTGTGACTTGGACACTTCTGCCAATCTGGAAAACAATGTTGACTAACTCCACAATTCCTCTCTGGTGCCCAATACTTGGCCTGTCCACTGATTTCAGAAGGGTCCAGAACAAATAGTAGTTCTTATGCTGAAACATTAACTCCAGGTTGGAGGCTGGAACTTAACTCAGATACTAACCTAACGGTGCCCAAGGTAGTGAGGGGCCACTGTGGTGTAGTCATATCCTCAATAATTTCAAAGGTTAGCCAACTGTGTGTGTGTGGGGGGGCACTCTTAAGAGTCACCTCTTAAGGTAGTGCTGTGACATGTCAAACAGGACAGGTAAAAGGAGACCACTGGGGACAGCAGAGCAGTGAGAGGACAGCAAGGAACGTATAAAAGTTCAGCTATACAGACGTAGCTAGCATTTTGTTCTCCTTTCCCCTTTGTAAAAACCATAGCTGCTTTTTAAAACAAAAAGCCTCCAGCTACAGTGACCCTGCTGCCAAACCACTGTGCCTGGGGAATGGGGCGGGCGGGTGGGCGGGTCTGCACTGCACAGGAGACTCACTCCACAGTCACTGGGCAGAGGGGCAGGAAGGAGGGAGTCTGCTCTTTTGTACCAAAGCAAGCAGGTCAATGCCATGTATCTACGATGTGGGCTGGCTGACGATGGAACTTTCAGGAGCTTTCGGGAGCAGAAGAGAGTTCTGTCCAGGCCAAGTGGCAGGACAGTGGGATGGTGGATCTGGCAAGGTCCCAGGTGGTGGCTGTCCAGGCTGGCGGTGGTGCACCATCCCTGTTAGGGTGAGGCAAAAGATGCCGGGCACCTTCAGGCTTGACTCTCCTCCCTTCAGGCTTTACTCTCCTCCACCTTGACTGCCCGAGGCTTGATTGCTCCGGTTCGCTTCATCTGGGAAGTGGCTGAGGAGGCCTCCTGCAGCTTCACGGTTCCCAGGCTGGGTTTTTCATCCACTCGCTTTGCCTTTGGACAGATGGATAGGAAAATCAAAGTGACTGCAAGGCAAAATGTGTAGAGACCACTCCCTCCATGCTCCTGAGTCAGACTAAAAGCTACCCTCAAAAGACCGAGGAGGAGCCTGGTGTGCAGCCAGAACTGCCTTGATCCCTCCCACGGGCATTGAATGTATGACTCTTGGGCCTCAACAGAGAACTCAGCAGCAGCAGCAGCAGATCCTGGGTGAAGCATTTCAGGTCCCAAAGCTGATGGGACCTTTCCAAATCAGTGCACCCCATGCTTCACTGGCAAGCAAACAGCCCCTTCAGCAGACCAACCTACACCACAGGCCTGGGCATTCACCTATCTATAGAGGGATGGATGGGGCCAACTTGGATCTCCCAGATCTTGGCCCGTGATTCAGTTAAGGCCCCATTCCAAGTGCCTCTGAATTACAGTTCCCCACGACCCCATTTGATCTCAAGATTCCAAGGCAGGGTTCCACTAGCCTGCAGCCCTGCATAGCAGAAGCCAGCACAAGGGTGACCAGTGAGGGGGTCTGCTCCTCACTTGGTCTAAATTCTGGGAGCTTTATTGGCCCTTCCTTCCTTCCTTCCTTCCTTCCTTCCTTCCTTCCTTCCTTCCTTCCTTCCTTCCTTCCTTCCTCCTTTCCTTTCTTTCTCAGTGCCAAGGATGGAATCCTTGGGCCTCACATATTCTGAGGTGCTCTACCCGAGCTATGCCCTCAGCTGTGGGAGAAAGGGTCAGAAATCCATCCCACAGCAGAGGAGTACCACCCCCACCCACAAGGAACACTGGGAAAGGGGTATAAAAAGAGAGCCACTTATACACCTCCACCTGGCAGTGACAAATTTACTAAAGCCCCAAGGTTCTGAACTCTGGAGCCCCAGCCCAGCTTAAAGGAGGAAGAGAAAAGGTCTACAGGGAAAGACACTGAGAAACCCTCACTGTGAAGTGGGCAAGGCTGCACCCCATCTATGCTCCCACCCAGGAAGACAAGGACATGCCACACCATTCACTAGAGCTAGCACACGCACACACTCCAGCCTCTGCGCTAACCCAGGCCGAACCATGTCTCCTAGAGCGCCATAACAGCCCCAAATGGCTGGGGACAGAACACCTTCTGGCATCACCTCTTGTGGGAACCAGTACCTTCCCTTTATGTGCAAGACAAGGAATGATCCAGGTACCCATCAAGAAGTGCTTCTGCCAGGAGGGGCTCAGGTGGCCCAGCTCTAAGCACTAGGGCTTTTTTTTTTTTTTAACAAAAAGCATCCACCAGCTGGACAGTCCCCTCTCCTTTGACGCTGGGAGACAGGCCTAAGTGTCCAGGGCTGCAGGGTCTGGGAAGCCATCTTCTACCTGTTGAACGTAGTGTCCCTGCACAGAGCCCATGTTAACTGCTGATCCAGAGGGCTTCCCACTGGGGCTAGCAGAGCTAGGCCTGAAAAAACCAAAGGCAGTGTTGAGAATACACACGTGTCACCACAGAGATGGAGTCAAAAGCCTAGAAGCACACAGAGGCAGATCAAGCCAGGGAGGGGCCTCTGGCCAGAGGCCTTGGCAGACAGAAAACAGACCCAAGACAACTGAGAATGCAGGACGGGGAGCAGGGTGGTCACCAGTGCCCCTCAGCACTTCCAGGAGCCAGGAGACACACCAGGGAAGGCAGCTGCAACCCATGCTATGAACAGACAGACAGTGGCTCTCAGGCTGCGGAGCATGGGGACTAGATAAGGCTAGTGACCAGCACTAAGGAGCCACACCATCAGTTGTCCCATCTTCACTCGTGGGGGAGGGTTTTGTCTCCAAAGCCATTAGACATTTAATGAGGAAAAGGTCCCGTGTCAGAACAAGTACTAGGCAGAGGTCAGTGAGTCTCCTGGGCGTGACTACCACCAGCCCCCTAAGAGCCATCTTGGGATAACACCCCTAGAATTTCTGACCAAGAGCTTCTTTTTACAAGGCATGTCCCAGCTGCTCCATTTGCCCAACCTTGGGGAAACAACACTATTCAAGTCCTAGGAATTTCTCTAGTAACCATGACACCTGTGTTTCTACATCCAGCAGCCCCTGATTTTCCTAGGACCTCAGAGATACCCTACTATGGAAACTCAGATCCCTCAGATAAAGTTAACATGGTACTGACATGGGATCTAGCCATGTTCTCCCATATGCTCTCTTTTGGTTCTGGGTATGGAACCAAGAGCCTCATGAGTTTAAGTATACATGTGCTTACACTAACCCACAGCCACCTCTATACTTGTAAAATCTTTGTGAATGACACATAAATGCAAACACTATGTAGATAGGAGCTACACTATATTGCTTAGGAATGATGCCAAAAAAAAAAAAAAAAAAAAAATTTGGTCCCTTCCCACTTCCAAATATTTTCAATCTGCCTATAAAGAGGCAACAGTTTCTTTCAAAGCCAAAGCTGTTTCCTTCCCTATAGCCTACTGTATCACACTGGGCCAGCAGAACTATGGTGTGAGATCCTTCTTTTTAATTTTAAAAAAAATTTTTTTTTTCCTTTTTCAAAACAGGGTTTCTCTGTAGCTTTGGAGCCTGTCTTGGAACTCAATTTGTAGACCAGCCTGGCCTCAAACTCAAGAGCTCTACCTATCTTTGCCTCCTGAGTGCTGCGATTAAATGCGCGTGCTACCACTGCCCTGCCGTGAGCTCCTTCTTGAAGCTTCCTCCTTCCCTCCCCCCTTCCACATGCACACTGTGCTGTGCTGCCCTCCACAAATCTCTACTGTGTGGGCCTTCTGCCAGGTAATGGTGGCAAAACAAAACACACCTATGCACAAACACAAAGAAGCCACAAAAGCAAGAACATAAATGAAGGTAAACTGAGGGGTCTTCATGAATCAATCCTCTTTTTATGGAAGTGATGATAGGGAAAGGATGGAGGACTTTCCAGTCCAACAGAGCAGATGTCAGTCAAATGGTCACAGTGAAAGTGGGTTACAAGACGGTAGGACTCTGCCTGCAGAGTGTGCTGCTGGCTGACCTGTGGAAAGGCACTGCAGGTGTGCCTGTCCCCTTCGATGTGTAAACATAAGGTATCAAGCTGCACATACCCTCAGGCCCAGGGCTAGAGCATATCCCAAACCCAGCATGGGGAACCAGGAGCCACTCCCATGACAATAGGTACTTCTGAATCAGGGGAAAGAGAACATGGATGGTTACTAGAGGTAGAGAACCATACCAATGAAAACAGTGGGTACCAGTTTGTGGTATGGGAAGAAAGGCTACACATACCCAGCATTAAGAAGTTCTCTGATAGGATTCAAAGGGTGAATTTGGATACAAGAGACCCCGGGGCTGAGGCTGACACCCCAGAATTCTCTCTCACTCCTCAGAGCACCTTACTCTGCAGATGAAAACAAATCTGGTTTCCCTAGAGGTATGCCTCAGTGACCCTGGTGCTATGAAGGGGACCATGCTGCAGTGCCCCTCCACCAGCCTCCCTGGACACATGGGCCTTTGGAGTGACTAAATGAATACACGGCAATGAGCCCCAACCCCCAGGGTTCATCTTTACCTGTAGGCCTGTGGGGATGGTGCGGAGCCTCCGGTAGGAACATTCTGTTTACTGTCGGCAAAGTGGAAGCCTTTCAGCTCCAGCTGAGCGGACTAGAGTGGCCAAGAAGCAACACGGTCACTCAGCAGCCCAGAGACAGCCTAGCCCACAGTGGCCTCATCTCCAACCAGGTTCAGGTTAGGGCTGATTCCTACTATTTACTTTTTCTCTCTCTGTGGACTATCACCTGGACACCCGCCACATCAGAGCTCCCATGACCTGATAAGAAGTGCGGACTCTGTTCTTATTCAAGAGTCTGGGTCCTGCATCTGTGGTGGCTCCAAGTGGTTTCTCCCCATTGGTTGAGGCACTGGTTGTACGCCTTCCTTGCTGCCTGGTAGTCTAGCACATGCTAGAACCTATCTTCCTGTCTAATTTACACATAAGCAAGTAGTTTCTGGCACCTGGGACTCTGTGGACTTTGCAGTGTGAGAAAGCCACATGAGGCTGGGAGCCTGCACTTTCTGTAATAGTATCTCTGTGGCAGAAGTCTTGGCTGGACAAAGCCCCCCTCTGGAAGCACCTTTACCTCTCTGCTGGTGTTCATGACTGGTGGTTGGGATCCAGGTGGAGGAATCCTTCTGGGGGCCCCAACAGAGAGACTCTGTCCCGGAGGCAGCTGAATGGACTGCGGCAGGATCAGTGGCTGCTGCCCAGACCCATACCGAGGCAGCGGCATAGTGAGCTGTGGGTGACAGGACAGTCAGGGGGCAGAATGGATACTGGGGAGGAAGCTGGAGCATGCATCTGGAAGTGCACATAGCACTCCTGGGTGGTCTGTACATGCAGGTGGCTGTGTGTCCTCATGCCTTGGAGCTTCAGCAAACAGACAATGGGCACTGGGGGAACCACAGTGACAATGACAGAACAATGTATGTGAAATCCTGTACATAGCTGTATGGCACTCAGAATGCAGGTTTGGAGGGGAAGAAGACAGCAGAGAGAGCCCCCAATGACAGCCACACAGGAAGTCTCTCATTGTGTTTCTTTGTATGACATAGACATGATAGATAGATACTCTTTTGCATCAATAGCAGCAGAAAACAAGACCAAATTGGAGCCTCAGAGACTCTTTTGGAGCATGCCAGACAGCAGAACAGGAGCACCCACAGAGCCCAAGAGATCACACACAAATCCAGAACAAGATGGGGGGGGAGGGGCTACTGGGGCAGGGCTGGGCCACCTGAGTCTCTCAGTCTCTGTCCTCTTCATCTCCCTGCTTTGAGTCCACAGTGGAGGGTCAGAAGGATCTATTGGGATCACATCACTGAGACTTATGGTGGCACCAGAGCTTCAGTGCAACAAGGACAGATGCAGTTGGGCAAGATCAATGCCTGGGCAGAGCATGGCCTGGTTCTTGCCCTTCTAGGAGAGCCAGACTGCTGTGCTCACTGCACAGGCTATCAGGGACCAAGGGCCAAAGGAGCACAGGGTAGTGAGGACAGGTAGGTAGGTAGGTAGGTGTAGGGGTGTGCGCGCGCGCGTGTAAACAAACACTGAGTCTTTCCTAAAGGCAGAGGTGACAGGAGCAGCTGAAAGACCAGAAGTAGGAGGGTGGGAGAAACAGAAGCAGGTGGAGGATAATATAGACTGGATGAGCAAGGAAGGAGGCAACTAAGCAGTCTCAGACCAGGATGCTGGAGCTGCCACAAGACATAAAGCGGCACTGGGAATGATGACCAGAAAGGAGAGCAAGGATAGGATGAAGGGTGTATCCACAATCAGACTGGAGGGAGTGGGCACATGAAGAGGGGAAGAGGGTTTGAGGAGAAAGGTGAGCCAGGCATAACGTCATGAAAAAGATGGCCTGAAGAGCCAGGGCACTGTGTGATGCTGTGATGTGGTGGCAGGGGTGCAGTAGAAAGAGGACCCCTCAATTAGCAGGGCAGGACTGAGCCCATCTCTACACTGACAGGAAAGGGGTGCACTAGCCAGGGTGGCCTGCAGGATGAAGGGGGACTTCCCAGGGACAGGATGCTGCTTTGATCCAGAACACAAGGCAGAGGAGGGGGACCACGGGCCCGGAGGGACATCGCCACCTGTTTCTCTGGTGATAGGAAGCAAGGTAATGGGGGAAAGGAGCAACATGGGAGAAGCAAGCAAGAAGTGGCTGCTAGGATGTACGGTTGGTGGGAGACAGAGAGAGGGAGTGCATGGCTGTGATGCCCCAGGGAGTGTGGGGTTGAAGTACCAGGAGCTATTAGAAAGACAGAGCGTAACTTTGTGTGATTCTTACACTATGGACATGGTCCAGGGCATCAAGATGGAGGAAGACGGTAAGCCAGGAACCCAAAAGAAGAAGGGCCTATTCAGCTGCCATGTAGGGCTCAAGGTTGAGGAGGAAGGGTGCAATGACAGATTTGGCAGTGGGAAGCTCCAACACGTATGCGGCTCAGGCTTAAGTGGGGCCTAGAAGAAGGGAGGGAGGGACAAAGACACCTGCCCCATATCCATTCCCACAGCCTCCACTTGGGGACTGCAAACATCTCCAGTGGAAAGGGAAGCCAGCAGGACACAGTTGGGGAGCACTGCAGCTGAGACATAATGCACACCAGCACAAACAGGAGGCAGCTGACTGTCGATGAAGAAGACAGAAGCATGTGAGAAACCAAACTGACCTGTGGAAGCTGGGAATCCAGCATCTGGGAGGTGCCCAACCCGGCAGCCTGGCCAAGCTGGCCCTCATAGACCAGGGCCTGATTTCCACTCATGGGCTGGTAGGGTGAGCCAGACTGTGGTTTCACCATCTCCAAGGGCTGTATGCCAGGAAACGCTGAGTACGGGGGTTTCAAGGCCGTGCCCCCAGAGAGGATCATAGTGCTGGGCGGTGACAGGCTGGGGTGCATGTACACCTGAGACCTGCAAAAGCCAGGGAAGGTGAACAAGTATACAACCATCTTCAACACTGCTGAACACACAGACTGAGGGTGTGCTAACACATCCCTGCTTCCCCAGAGAATGAGTCAGAGCGCCCAGATAAGCCTGACACTGCTGAACTGCAGACCATAAGCAGTTGGGGGGATGTGGGGGTTGGGGCTTGGCTTTGGGTAGAGGAAAAGGCACAGGAAGAACATAACCAGCAGTGGTGGAGACCAGCTGGTGGCCTGGTCTGTAACAGGCCCCAGTACAGAGGAGCACAGGCAACTGCAGCAGGGCAACATGGAAGTCTCTCTCACCTGAAAGGCTGCAAGGAGCTGAAGATTTCCTGGGACTGGGAGACCGGGAGCCCACCCCTCAGACCAAGCTGCGCCTGGGCCTGCAGAGATGTGTGGAGGGAGATCGGGATCTGCTGGGCAGTGGCAGCCTGCAAACAGGAACCGGGTGATGACTGCATTGGCACCAACACGCCTCCCCACCTCCACCTGGCCCCAGCCTGGTCAGCAACAAGACTGAGGCATGGTGTACCCTAACACTGATGCATGGTCATGCACATCAGGGGAGGTGGATTTGGAGTATCCTTTTTAGGGTACATGCCAGCTGAGTGTGGTGTTCATACATGTAATATCAGTCCTTGGGTGGCTGAGGCTAGAAGACCCAAGGTCCAAGTCAGCCAGGGCTAAATAGTGAGTTATAGGCCAGCCTGGACTAGCAAGAGTCAAAAACTAAGGGCTAGAAAGATGGCACAGTGGTTATAAAAACACTTTTGTTTTTGCTGAGGACCTGGGTTCAGTTCTCAGCATTCACATGGCTATAAGTCCAGATCCAGAGATCTTATGCCTTCCTCTGATTCTGTGGGCAGTACACGAACACAGGGCATAGACATACATGCAAGCAAAACACCCATACTCATAAAATAAAAATAATCCTTTAAAGACCAAAAGGGGGCACTAAGATTCACTTAGCTGGATAAAAATCTTAGAAAACTATGCACAACAACATGTTGAAAGCAGAGGATAGCTCCATCCTCTGGGTCAGAGACCCGCAGTAGGAAGGATCACTGCCAGGGTGTGTAGGAGGTCAGCACCAGCCTTCAGAAGGAGGCCCCAGCACAGATGGAATGCTGATCTTGGGCAAAGCCAACAACTTCTGCCTATTTCTAAAACTGTTTCTAATGCATCTGTGCCCAGAGACTCAGGCCCTTCAGGAGCCTATTAGCAATGCACCCACAACACAGCTGACCCCCAGCTAGGAGAAGCAAGGACTATGAGAAGAAATCAATAGTATCTGGGGCGTCTAGTCCATGCCTCTTCATCTCTCATAAACTCTTTCTACACATACTCTCTGGGTGCTATGGTCTGCCAGTACTGGGTATTACATGGATCAGGGGCAAGATCACCAGCAAAGAAATTCAGTGACTACCATGTTGCTTCTCGAAACCTCTGGCCACCTGGCTCCCACCCTCACCTGCTGGTAACTCTGCTGCTGAGGTATTGTTTGAGGAACCAGTCGGGGCTGACTTGCAAATACATGGCCATCCAGGTACAGAGGCGGGAGGTGGTTGCCTGGAAACAGATCGAAAACGAGGAAGAAAAGGATCAAGTCTTCCCATTGCACAAGGGAATTCCCATGGGAATCCGTGGGGCCTAGGATACACGTGAGCAGAGGCTTTGTGGTTCTCTGCTATAGCATGCACCCCAGGAAGCCCAGACAAGTGCAGGAACAGAGCACCTAACTACTTGATCACTCACTAGCTACGCTGGGCCTTTGGGAGGGCTATTTACTATGGAAGAGAGTTGCTTGGGTCTCTCAGTCTCTGTCCTCTTCATCTCCCTGCTTTGAGTCCACAGTGGAGGGTCAGAAGGATCTATTGGAACTGCATCACTGAGACCTTGGCAGCTGGGACCTCAAAACCCCCAGTAACATGCATAATGACAATAAGAGTCAAAACAGCTACCAGCAATGGAGGGTGCAAGTAAGCCCTTGTGTTGTGGGTGTAGCCACCCAGGGGCACAGTACCATCAGCTGTTTTTATGAGTAAGTGAGTGGTTCACCAGGGAGTTGGCACTGACTAGAGCTGTATCTTCACTCAGTTCTCTCTGGCAATTCCAATTGTCTTCCTATGACACTACAATCCTGCTTCCCATAATAGAGCAAGAATCATACTGTCCATAGCATGTGGGAAGTTGTAACTAACTCATTTAGACACAAGTGTTGCTCTCTAAGTGAAAGCACAGAGCTGTTAACCCAGCTTCTCTCCATAGTGAATGGAGAAGGCTCCTGAGCCTGGCTCAGAGGATGTGATACCTGGCATCGAAGCAGAAGGCGCTACAGAAGCCACAGGCATGGGTGGCATGGACACTCCACCAAAGGAGCTGTAGTTGACCCCGTTGGAGGCGCCCACAGAGGATGGAGGCTGGATGGCCGAGCCTGCACCTCCTGGAGAGCTCTGCTCTGGCAAACTGGGGGAGTTTTCCCAAGCCTTTCGCGCAGACTCCATCTTTGGAAGCAAGAGGGAGGAGGGATGCAAATTACTACTGGGGGCAAATGAGGACAGTGGCAATCTAAGCCAGGGTACAGGAGGGTCCCTTCTGCACCTCATCACAAGCTGAAGTGCTGCGGAGGACCCTAGCCCAGCTCAGGCCTGGCTTTACCTTCAATGTGAGGTCTGCAGTGGGGAAAGACATGGGGGACAGGCCGATGGCTCTCTGGATGTGGTGATCCCGCCGAAGGATGGGAATACTCTGTGTCAGTCCTGCCTGGATATGAGAGAAAGTCACAGGCAGGGCTCAGAGACATGGGACAGCCAGCCACTCATTCAAACATACCCCCTTGACCAGACTCATCTACAGCAGGTTGCCTTGATGAGTTTCCATGACAGTAGTCACCTACACACCCACACTCCACCAGCTCTCTACACAGTCATGTCCCATTGACACAAAAAATGACTAGCTGCCAAGAAACAAGCACCTGGTTCAGCAGGAATCTAATGCCTGGCTGGGGAGATGGCCAGGTCCAGAGAGTAAAAGTGGTGGCTGTCACTCAGCATCTGGGGCCTCCTAACAGGTGGGAAATACAGCTACTGAACCCTACAGCACAGGGCTCACTCAATTTCCAGAGTGAGGAAACCTGGCTAACTGCCTTTTAAACACATAGACACACAACTGTTCTCTCTCAATGCCTGAATGAAATGTTCTGAAGCACTGTGCAACCATCCCCCTCCCCAGGCTTCTTAAGAACACTTCCTGGATGCCCTCACCCAGCAGATCTACAGAGACAGATCAATGAACAAAGCAGTTGGCTATTTCTCCAAGCAGCTCACAATGCTGAATCTCCCTTCTCTGAGCGCACAGAACCTACTGGGCCATGGCATTCATGGTACTGTGGTACCTGTCAGTGAGGGAAAGCAGCCTCCAAGTACTCCTGCCTAACCACTGTTACTAACTAGCCACGAAAGGATAGTCTGGGGTTGGGGGGTGTGTGGCTCATTATTAGAGTGCTTCCCTGGGCTCTCTCTCCCTAGGGAGAGCAGCCTGCACCACAGCTGGCACAGCATGGAGACTGGAGCTAAATCAAGCCAAATAATCCAGACCCTAAGAGGACTAATACCACCTCTAGCTAAAGGTCCCAAAACCCAGGTATGGCTAGCAATGAAGCTGCTAGCATGTACACAGGCAGAGGTGGACGTGGACATGCTGACTTACATTACTAGCCAAGACATCCTGAAGCTTGGCAACTGGATTCCCTACAGGCCCAGAAGCAGAACCAGGTGGCAGGCTGAAATCAGAGTCCTGGAAGAGACAGGCACACAGTGTCTGAGCACCACCAGCCCATCCATGACTAGGCCCATATCAATTGAGACTGTCCACTATGCAACATTCACCAGAACTACGAGAGGGAGATAACCACAGACAAGAAAAGAAGTCACCTGACTTGTTTCTCCCTACCTTGGCTGGCCCCTGAGCCCGGCTGGTACGAGAATGGTCATTTATCTATAAAGCAACCCCATAACCTCTGTCTATCCCTGATTCTGCACCAACACTCTTCCCAAAATAATGCTCAGCTTCTATCTGCGTTTTTATTTTATTTTATTTTTTTTCTCTAGGAGACAATCCTAAGTGCCCACCTAAGTACAGAAAATAAAGAAAAGAGTAGAAGGAAAGCTCACTTTTGGATTGACTCCAAACTCAATGGGTGGTACAGGCAGCACGGAATCCACATGAATCTCCACCCCATTAACAGGTGGGACGACAGCCCCTTGCAGCCGCTCAGCCCCCTCTGAGCCCTTTCTGTTTTTCAGGGAGCGTTCATTGCCGATGGGTCCCGGTCTGTGCTCCTTGCTCTGTCCAGGGCTTTGATCTGAGTCCTTGGTGGGAAAGCAGAGAGGCTGCACACATGTTTCCAGGTACCCTTGGCATCAAGGAAGACAAGACAAGGAAAGGCCCCTTCTGCCAAGGCCCTGGCCACCATGTAAGGGACTTCCAGGTTACCTTGTGCTCAGACTGCTTCTGAGCTTGGTCCTTGTGGCTGTCAGCCTTGGATTCCACCAGGCCAGGTCCACTCATCTCCTCTGGCTTAAGAGTTCCATACGGGGAACTGCGCTGTGAGGAGGTCGCAGATGACTCCCGAGACTCAGCACTCAAGTCAACGCCACTATCTCCCTGGCTGCTCTTAAAACCCTGCTGTGCAGAGCACAAAATGGGTTAGAGCCCTGTCCCCAAACTGCAAACCACAATCACCCAGGAAGAAAGCTGTGTGCAGCAGTGGCATTCCTCCCGGGCCACCAACCTCCACTCCTAACTCCAGTCCTGACCTGGGGACAGTGGCTCATGGCACACGCCCAGCTTAATGAATGTGCCAACCCTACTCAAGCTCATGACCACCTGTGCAGGCCTAAGACAATGCCACCATGCTGACTTTACTCAAAGGATACAGGTACCAGCCAAAGCCGGCTCAAGGTGCCTTTTCATCCAGCAGTCTCTCCCTTGTCTCTCTGCTCACGTAGGCACCACAGCAGAGACTTCGGTACAGACCCAGGTACTAGTGACTGCACCGTAGCACTCTGTGCACTCACTGCACAGGGCATGTGAGTGGTGGTGGCACTCACCTCTGAGGTGCCAGGCTCAGTACTGCTGAAGGCAGTGACAGCTTTCCTCCATGAGTCGCTGGCTGCGCCTTGCACAGGGAGGGCTGTCAAGGAAGAGGGACAGTCAGGGCATCAAAGAGAGACAGGCAGCCTGGAAGACATGCGCTCATGGAACCGCCCCTAGGAGCTCTGCCTGCAGGCACCACCACAGACAGATCTTTGTGATTGAATCTGACCCAGGCACTGCTGTCAGAACTTCCCTCAACACCAGCATCTTCATATTCAAACAAACAGAAATAAAAAACCCAAACTTGCTCAGAATTTGAATTGGCTTTATACTTTTGTTTTTTGGTTTTGGGGAGGGGGGTCGTGGGTGATTATTTTTTAGACAGGGTCTTGTGTAGCTGTCTGTGCCTCCTGAGTGCTAAGATTAAAGGTGTGCACCCCCCACACCCAGCTACACTCACTAGCTTTGGATACTTTAACTCTCCATCAGTCCTGTGTGGACTATCCCCGCAGTGATGCTATGAGAGGGCAGCTTCTCTAAGTCTTTGAAAGGTCCAGGCAGATACAGCTCAATTCAGTAAGCTCACAGACCTTTCCCAGAATCCAACCAAAGCCACAGAGGCTGAGCCTAGAAAATGTACATGCAGGGGATACACTCTGAAACCACACACAGGGTCCCGGTCTGAACAACTGGTGTCTCAGAAGATGGCCCTGTTCAGTCTTATGTTTGCTGCCAGGACAATCTGGCTGTGGATTTTTTAGTAACTGGTTGTGTATGTATGTTGGGGACAGTGTGCAGCATGTTGTGTGGAGCCACACCTCCACCACTGCTCTTCCTTCTACCAGGGTAGACCATCACGTGGTGGCGTTTGCAACATACTAAACCATAATTTTCACCAGGAACGAGTAAAACTAGGAAAAAGCTGACTTTTGAGAACATGAATCACCCACTGTGGCATTTGTCCTAGCCAGGGGTCAGCCACTGTTCTGTAGAGTGGGCTCTACTAGTGCCTGTGCAAGACACAGAAAATCTTCCAGGCTCACTGCTGTGCAGGCCCCACTTGAAGGAGGCCTTCAAGAACAACCTGATCAACTGGAATGGGTTTGTTTTAGATTTAGAAGCACACCTTTGAGTGGAACATTAAAAACAAAACAACTTTAAGAAAATAAATTTTCCAAGAAGATAGACTTACTTTGGTCTGAACTTTGCCCTTCCACAGAAAATGGAGGGTCATAGGGTTTTCTTTCCATTGGAGGAGGGCATTCCCTAACCCTCCTGGCTATCTGTCATTCTTCCACTAGCAAAGGAAATCTCCTCCAAGGTGCCAGCTGTACTACCAGCTCTACTAGTCTACTATACTAGAGTCAGGGATGTGTCGCTCACCAGCGACTGCCTCAAAGACTCAATTCAGGTGCTGCTAGGGCCCAAGATACAGGTGATGATCCACTCATATTCCAGGCTCAAAGGTGTGACTCTCGGGGAAGAGCTCTGCTTTTCTGAGCAGGGCACAGCCCTCACCTTGGCTGCCACTCTCCCAGATCTCAGTGCCCAGACTGCTCCCAGGCACAGCCACGTCGCCTTGCTCCAGACAGAGGCTGTTCTGCTTTTTAGCAAACCGAGGAGGAATACGTGATGAAAGGCCTCGACCTTTGACAGGCACCTACAGGAAAAAAGAGGTCAATGCAGTCTCTCCTGACATGACAGAGGACAAATTTCCCTGGGAAGCATCTTGGCTCACACCACCACCTAAATTAGCTTGAGATGCCTGACACTTGTCTTCAAAACCTCAGACTCAGGATGGACTGGTAGGACAGCCAGATTGGTCCCAGGAGCAGGCTGATAGATGTACCGAGCAAGCCTCAAGTATTTTGGCAGTTCCCGGCCTCTGGGATTGGCAAGAACAGGAAGTCACCTGGTCAGGCTGGAGCAAGACCAGGAGGAAGACAATGGGTTGCTGAGGCAGACTCCAGACCTGACTGCTCACATTTTGGTTTTTAGACCCTGACAGGTCAGCCTCTTTGTGACTCCCATTTTCTCCTGTTTGTTGCGGGACAGTAGTGACAGGCAGTGAGAGGCAATGCATGCCTGACCGATATTCTCCCTTCCTCTCTTCCACCCAGGGCTGTCCTCTGGCCCATGACCTCACCTGAGCAGCCTGTTCCTTCTTTCTTCTCTCCTCCTCCAGCAGGCGGCGCTGCTTCTTGGTCAGGACTTCAATGAAGCCTTCGCCCACCATGGAGCTCACTTCACTCTCCTCCCCAGGGCTGGACCCACAGTTATCGATGATGGCATCTGAACCAAAATCACAAAAAAGAGCAAGGAGAGAGTCATTCAAGAGGCACCTGACATGCAGCACATGCCTAGCTCAGAAATGCACTTACCAAAGAGTGATTTCACCTGTACCCATGAAAACCTGGACATTGTAGCCTCCACCCCCCCCCCCATGCCCATGTGACAGGAGACATTGCAAGCCAAACCCAGAGGTACTCAGGATGGAGAAAACTGCCTTTAAAGATGCAGATTCATAACCCCAGTTCTGTTTCTTGGAGGCCATGTGGCCTTGACACACCACAGAAGCACCCTGGAGCTTTGGGTAACCTCTTTAAACCTGGGAAGTTACACAGACATCATAGGAGCTCAGCAAGGTTGGCAGCTTTATGAGACAGGAGTCTGAGTTGCTTTGTACCTCCCTCACTCCAACCAAGTCCCAGAGTCTATCCCTGACTCACTTCCATATCCCAGGTCAAACTGCTTCCGGGCCTCTTCCTTCTGCTCACCAGCCCTCTGGGCAGCCAAGGCAGCCTCCTTCTCTGCTTTCTTACTGGTGGTTTCAGGACTGTCAGAGCTGGCATGAGTGGTCCGCTCCAGGGCATAGGATGAGTGGCTTCCATTACTGCAACCAAGGCCACCAGGCAAGGCCTCATTTGGAGACCTGCAAAAGAAGGGGAATCTCATGAATTCACCATCACTCAAAGGCTAGGCAAGAGGGAGGAGAAAAAACCGGCTGCATAAGGCCCCCCACAGACATAGCAGCCGTCTAGCTCCAGTTCCTTCAGTTGAGCCGTCAAGGGCCTGCCAACAGTACATGCTATGTGCTGGTTCAGTTCTGTGGGACAGGGATCTACCTGAGCAGGGGGAACACCCTGTTCCCAACACTCCATGCCCTCCCACTGCATGCTGCCGCTGGGTGAATGAGCCCAGGACAGGGGCACCAGCCTTTCTGCAAAGGGTTTCTTTGCTGCAGGCCTCTTTAGGACACACATGATGCCTTTTGGGGGCTGGAATATGGTCACACAAACACTTGAAAGAACATACACTTTGCTGAGTAAACTTCAGGGTATTTATACTCAAGTTTTGAATCCTGAATTCTAAGGACATGAGGGGTTGAAACCTCTGTATCTCCTGAAACCTCAATCTGAGGCACTGACTGGGCAGCACGTCCATCTTCAAGCAAGCCTGTGACAATGGGCCAATGTCCAATAAACTGTCTACCCGAAAGTTTCCAGTTCTACAGAACCAGGCTCATGGGCTGCAAGCGGCCTGCTCCACTCTGTTCCAGCTCTGCCCAGGCAGCAAGAGGGAAGCAGGACCACCAAGGGCAAGAGCTATCTCCACACAACCAAAAGGCGAGTGATGTCTCCTGGCCAGCTCCAAGCAGGAACAAGCAGGTAGACTGGCCAGAGCGCACCAGTCACCACACACAGGCAACAGTCATCACTGTAGGGCTGAGAATACATTCGGAGGTTGGACTCTAGGGACATGGGGTTGAACAGCAGTCACAAGGAGGACTCTAGGAAACAGGGTATGGGGAACTTTGGGTTTAGTTGATCAAGCCACAACAACATCAACAATGACACACCATGGAGAAGCGGACAAGCAATGCAGGAGCAAGTGATGGAGACGTTCACACACAGCGGCCAGGGCTGCCTGGCTTTGGCAGGGCGTGCATGCATGGACTTGGTGCTGCTGCGAACAGGACAACGACAAAGGACCCGAGATGGTGCTGGCATGTTACCTTTTGACTTTCAGAGGCGTCCCACTGTGCTGGCTCTCGCAGCGGGGGGAAGTCTCGCCCCCACCTGGCCTAACAGACTTCTCCCCAAACCCTCCCGGCTCCAGCTTGCGGCTCTGTCTGTCAGCCAGGGGCCTCTGGCTGGAGAAGCTCCGCTTGGCCAGCTCCTTCTTCTCACCCAAACTGGCCCCTGACAGGCCACCATCCCCTTGTGCTTCAGGCTCAGACGCAAGGCCTTCTCGCCGCTCCCTGCGCTCGCTGAAGTCACTGCTCTCAGAGGCAGTCTCCCACTCTTCGTTGGCATGATCGGAAGAATTCTGGTAGGAGAGCTCTGGGGACCTGTGACCTCCAGGACCACTCTTGTCCCCAGGACAGAGTTTGGACCGGCCTGGCCATTGACTTGCCAGCAGGTGGGACTCCTCCTCAGGTCCCCACAGGCCCAGGGACTCCCGCTCTTGACGGAGGCGCCGGAAGCGAGGGGGTTTGTCTTGACGTGGGGGCCGTCTCCGACGGAAGGGCCTGTTCTCTGCATTTTCAGAATCTGCCCCGTGGTCGTCTTGGAAAAAGGACCTCTTGTCTTCCATGCGGCTGTCCTCAAAGACCCTGCTGCCAAATGTGTCATTGTGTCGGTAGGATTCTGGGATATAGTCTCTGTCAGTGGTTCTCCGAGGGCCACATGGGTCAGAGGGGCCATATTCCTGCCAGGAGCTGCCTGGGCTCCTGCTCAGCCAGTGGGGAGACTCTTTGGCAACAAAGGATCTGCGGCCATAGCTGCAGTTGCTTAGGCGAGGTGGGAGGGCTCTCCCACAGCCCCGGGATCCCCGGCTACGGGAGTCTAGGCCAACCTGGTCCTCCGTGTAGGTCCTGTTGGAGCGCCAAGAGTCCTTTTTCAGGGCACCCTCATCACTTTCCAGGAGCATGCCCTCGTGGCCCGGCTCTGAGCCCCGCTGACGGCGCCGCTTGGGCAGCTCTTCATACTCAGAGCCCTCGCTGTGGGTCTCACTGGCGATGCGGCGCCGAGGCTTGACTCTGGGGTAGTCTTCTGGCAGGGGGAAATCACGAAAGCCCCTGCCTCGGCTACTGCGCTGGCCACCACTGTACATGCTTCGAGCCCCAAGGACACCTGTGCCACACAGACCACTTGTGTTACTGCCTGAAGGGCGGCCGCCTCGGAAGGTGAACTCTCTGAAACCACGGCCACGGCTGCGGGCCTGGCCCCGGCCCCCAAAGGCCTGCTCCTCATCAATGAAGATCCAGTTGTTTCTCTTGGTTGGAGGAATGTCACTGGCCTCCCTTGAGGGTCTGCTTTCCCAGGTCTTATCAGACTTTGCATCTTCATCCAGCTTACTGGCCTCATGGCCAAACCCTGCACGGGCAGCAGCCTTGTCCTCCAGGGCAGAGGAGGAGGCATTGGCCAGAGCAGGGTTATTTTCTTCATCTTCATCCTCTTCTGTCCTGCACATGGGCTCTTTGTCCATGGCCAGCTGTGAGCTCTCCTCTCCCGGGCCCTGCCTGACCCTCTCCAGTGCCCTCTCCTTCTCTTCTATCTTCAGGGCCTTGAGGACAGGTTTTTTGATGGGGCCCGACCTCCGGGTCCTGCCTGGCTGCTCTTGGTGCTGGATCTGAGGCTCAGGTGTCCACTCAGGCTCTGGGTTTGGCTGTTTCTTGGGGCTCCCTTCCTTCTCCCAGGAGGGAACATGGAAGGATGGCTCCTCCCGGGCTGCCTCCTGCTCGACACTGTTGGCTGTGTCAGCAGCCTTTGGCTGGTGGCCAACATCCCAACTGCCATACTCTGGCTTTTTCTCGGTTGGGACAAAGTCGGGCTCCAATGGGGAACACCTGAGGTTTGGGGTACGAACCCCAGGAGCACCCACCTCCTGAACATTTTCCTGGGGTGGAAATAAAAGCTCCTGGCCTATTCTTTGAGAAGAGATACAGCTGTCAAAGTCTGCTTGGGCCTTCTTGTCAAAAGCACTCAAGTACTCCTCCCCTCTCTCCTCAAAGAGATCGCGCTGGGCATTTATGCCCCCTGACCTTCCGGGGGAGGCAGAGTAAGACCTTTCATTCCTGAAAAGGAACCAGAAAAATCAGTCAATGTGATTGGAGCTTGGTTCCTGGTTTCCATGCTGAACAGGGCTTAGTTTTGTTTGTTTGGTTTTAAAGAAAAAAATAATGTGTTTTAAAAAGAAAGGAAAACACAAGCAAACATTTGCTCTAGCTTAAGACACGATGCTTGGTGGCCCCTGGAGTCCGTGAGCGCAGAGATGGCAGTGGCAGCTCAGTATACCACCCTGGAGACAGAGAGGAGCTGGCAGTCCCCTGGAGCAATGACAAGCTGGAGCCAGGGAGTCTGAGCCTGGGCCTGGGGCAGCAGGGCTAGCTCCTACACTCACACAGGAGGAGCCAGCCTGCCCCACTGCCCGTTTACCCTGTGCCCATAGTTCGGCGACTACAGGTCCCTCCTGGGCCTCAGCCTGGCCATCAGGAAGAGCCACTCACACCAAGCATTCAAGCACACCTGCTTGTATTGAACCCCACCCACCCCAGGCAGTGTCTCCAGGGCGGGGGTTCTTCCTAGGGCCGTCCATGGGGACTGCAATCTTCCTTCAGCCGCAGAGCAGCAGGAGGAGTGAGCTCACCTGGCGTGCATGTCCATGGCCAGAGTGTCAGCAGCCTTCGGAGCGGCCAGTGAGTAGCCTTTGCTCTGCAGTGCCATGTAGCCCTCTGGGCTCCACACAGGAGCTGGGTCGATGCTGGTCATTTTTCTTTCTTGGAGTGAGGGCACACAGTTCTGATCTTCAGAACGACAGCCAGTCCCACTGAGGGACTCTGGGGGCATCATGGGCTTCATCAATCCTGAAGAAGGCAAAGGGTCAAGCTCTCTCCTCTGACACAAAAGAGTGTCTGGCAGCGGCCTCACAGCAAAACAAAGCCTCAAAACAGAGGCAGCTGCCCCAGCACCACAGGGACATGGCAGCTACGCCTATAGCATTTGAGTCCTCACTTCTACTATGACAGAAGACCCCTTGGGCACACATGCATACCATTTGACCTGCTTATGACCCATAGGAGACAATTCTAGTTCCCAGAACAAGAATGCATTTGAGCTGAGTGGTAGTTCCTTTTAAATCCAGCACTCAGGAGGCAGAGGTAGGTGGATCTCTGAGGTTGAGGCCAGGCCAGGCTGGTCTACATACAGAGTAAGTTCCAGGACAGACAGGGATGTTACATAGAGAAATCCTGTCTCAAAAATTAAAAAAAAAAAAAAAAAAAAAAACCATATATAAGGTAATAAAAACAATAATTGGAAGCCAGATGTCAAACCACCGGGGCTGGTCAGTGAGCGTACCATGACATTGCATAGCTATGTGGACAGGAGATGAGTCATATCCCAGATGGCACACAAAGACTAGCCAGCCAGCACTCAGTTGATTCAGACCCTCCCAGAAAATTAGGCAGAGATTTGGCTTTACTTCTTCCTATCCCTACTGAAGATGGACATGGACATGCTACATCTTTTATTTTGGGAATTCTGGCTGTTTGTGAGGCACAGCATGAAGTGGCCCAGGTCAATGAGGACACAGGTAAAATATGATGACCCCCCCCTCCTAGTTCCATGAAGCTTTCCAGCCTCCCACAGATGTAAGCTTGGTGGTCTTGGGCACCCTCTCAGAAGACTGCAATGTCTCTGTAATACGACAACTCAAGAAAGCTTGTGCCCTTTGGTACAGTACTCACACCTGGACATCCATCTTAGGCCAGTCCAGGGAAAGATAAAAACAAGCAGACTTACGAATTCAGAATATAATTGCATTCTTACTTGCTTCCTTAGAGTTTTGAGGAGGGCTGTATTCAGATCGCTGCCTCCCAGAATGATGCAGAGATTAACCAAAATTGGTTGTAAGGGCTCTGGGAAGATGGGCCAATAAAGCTCTGAGTCCAATAAAGGCCTGGAATCTAATCCTTAGCAGGTCTTGAAACTGAATGTTAAAATCCAAATGGGCAGAATATGTATGGAAAATAATATAGCATAGTAGATATTTTGTAGAACAACCAAAAACACTAAAACTTTATATTTAAAAGATTGAAAGCATAAAAGAAGGAATTAAAAACTTGCTGGATGCAATGCTGCACATGTGTAACCCAGCAACTCAGGATGCAGAGGCAGGTCTGTGAGTTTGAGGCCAGATTAGTCTACATAGTTAGATCCTGGCCAAGCAGAGTTACATGGAGACTATATCTTTGAAAACAAGAAAAAAAAAAAAAAAACTTCAAATAGGAGCTGGTGAAATGGCTGAAGGAATAAAGGAGCTTGCCGCCAAACATAACACCTGGAGTTCAATCCCTGAAGCCACACTACAGAAGGAGAACTTCTGACCTCCACGCATGCTGTGCCCCTGCCACTCCCCAAGCAGGTAAACAAATGTTATAAAGGAAGAGGAGGAGAAAGAAAAAAAAAAAAAAAAAAAAAAAAAAAAAAAAAAAAAAAACAAAACAAAACAATGATTTGAGAAGCAAATCCTATTTCCAAAAAATATATAGCTGGGGTCTGGAGAAATGGCTCAGCAGTTGAGAGCACTGGCTGCTATTCCAGAGGACCCAGGTTCAATTCCAATACCCACACGGCAGCTCACATATGTCTGTAACTCCAGTTCCGGAGTTTCTGACTATCTCACATAGACTTAAACATAGGTAAAACACTAATGAACACAATAGAAATGAATTATAAAAAATCTGTATCTATATAGATCTACATAGATATATACAGTCACTAAAATTAAAAATGGTAGATTAGACAAAGGGGGAGAGCTGCAGACAGTTCAAAGACAGCTTCCTGATGGCAACATGGAGGCAACCCCCTTCCTATTAGTTCATTTTAATATTTATGTTCCCTTCTCTCTCCTCTCTCTCCTCCTGGAAGCAAACACAGTCTTCTCCAACACTGGTACCTATATGTGAAAAGTAAAATACAGAAAGGTCCCTGCAGTCCCAGCAGGAGGATGACACACAATCAGCAATTTTGGTATAATAGAGTAGGCAGGGGAGATGAACACTTAAACAATACAATACCAAAAACAAACGGAAGATTAAAAAAGAGAGACATATTTTGTTATTTTTGCATGCATGTATGTATGTATGTATGTATGTATGTATGTGCATGCATGCTTGTCTGGTACCCACAGAGGCCAGAAGAGGGCACCAAATGTCTAGAACTGGAGTTAAGGTAGTATGAGCGGTCATGTGTGCACTGGCACCTGACAGAGCAGCCAGTGCTCTTAACTGCTGGACCATCTCTCCAGCCCACAGAAAGGAAATCTTTTTTTTTTTTTTTTGGGGGGGGGGGCAGGGCACAGGGTAGGGTGGGGATAGCAACTGAGACAGAGTCTCACCATGTAGCTCTGTCTGTCCTGGAACTCAGAGACCTGCCTGCACCTGCCCCTAAGTGCGGGGATCAAAGGTACACACTACCACACCTGGTTTCCCAATAAACCTAAAGGAAGGAGCTTTGGCAATTAAAAGCTACAGCCGATCAGAGTGAGCATTCTCACCCACAAAGCAAAAGATACATTACTAAAAGCAGGGCCCAGAAGAATCATAGTAAACATCTAAAATAAAAGATATCAGATAGTGAAGACACCTAGGGTAATTATGTTACTTCCAGGCAAAACAGCAAAGACGCAAACACAACCAATTCCTTTCAATGTGCTTCCAGAAACAGGTAGCAGAAACTGCCAGCTGGCTGGGTACTATAGCCCCAGCCCATAATTTTAGCACATAGGAGGCTGACTGACCCAAGAGGACTTCCATGAATGTGAGGCCAGCCTGAGCTACAGTGAGAAACTAAGTCTCAATCAAGTACAAGCAAAAAAGCAAGTGTGGTGGTCCACACCTTTAATCTCAGTACTGAGAGGCAGAGGCAGAGGCAGAGGCAGAGGCAGAGGCAGGTGGAACCCTGAGTTGGAGGCCAGCCTGGTCTACAAAATACTTTGAAGGTTAGACGGTTACAAAGTGACAAAACAAAGAAACACCACAAAAACAACAAACACAATGGCTTATAAGGATTTTACAAAGCCACAACCACACTTGGATATTTATTTATCTATCCTTGGTGTTAAGAGTTGAATGCAGGGAAAAGAAAAAAATAAGAGTTGAATGCAGGTCTTCATGAATACTAAAAGAATGGTATATCCTACCACTAAGTTAAACTTCAAACCTTGTGGCAAACAATTTTAATATCAATCAGTAACCAATCAAGAGGATTTTTAAAAACCAATGATATGGGTATTTGTATAACACAACTGGCAAGTGCTATTTCATGGACTACTTCAATATGACTAGAAAGATTAAGACCACATAACAGTCTAGCCTGCAGTATGTACTACCTAACAGTGTAACCTACAGTATGACCACCTAACAATCTAGCCTGTACCATGTACTCGCTGAGGTCACACATCACCAGACCCCAACAAAGCAACACTGGAATCAACACTATAAAGATCATACTGTGAGGAATAATGAATAAATGAGCTCCCAACAGTATTATAAAGAATGGAACAGTAAGACAAAGGGGTGATGAACCCCCAAATGTGGTTTGACCTGACACAGGCCAGACTGGACTTAGTTAGTGGTTCTGGCTCTCCTAGTGACTTCCCCTCATTTTTTGGTCACCTGGACTCTGTGCTCACCTGATGGATGCAGGGCTGAAGGGTAGAAGTCCACAGGTGTCCGAGTAGGTGTGATACGTGGGTCCATGTAGGAGGGCATCATCATCCACCGTGGGTCGAAGCCCAGCATCTGGGGGTGGTGTGGGTAGAAGGTGCGCTGGGCGTGAGAAGGTGGGGGGTACACAGGCTGCCAGTGCTGCATCTTGTATAGCTGCTCCTGGTGGAAGAAAACCGTAGTGAATGGGGGTGGGCACACACAAAGTGCTCATGGGACAGTCCTTCTAGGAGGGGCACAGAAAGGCCCCTAACAAGCCAGGAAGTGGTGGCACACACCTTTAGATCCAGCACTCAGGAGGCAGAGGCAGATGGATCTCTGAGTTTGAGGCTGATGCCAGCCTGGTCTACTGAGCTAGTCAGAGAAATCCTATGTGTGTGGCATGAGGGTGGGCAGAGAGGAGAGGCTAACAGAAGGTTAAAATGAAGTATGTCCCAAGCTAAGATCCCTCTGAGCTGAATGGACAACCATATTGGTGTCACTACAAGAATTGTGTGCACATGAGGTGCCCCTCCCCCATCAGACTAGGGTTACAGTTTGACTGAACTCTTCATAGAATCAGATCTGCTCACCTAACAGAGGCATGGTTATTTCTTTTGTCTACAGCCATCGCTATACATCCCACATTTGTGGCTCCAAGTTCCCCTGTGTTGTTCTGAACAGCCTGATCCCACATGGCTCCCTGCAGCCTGCAGCCTCCTGTTGGATATCACCTTCTTGCCTACTCCTCTACAATGCACCCCACTCTCTGCTTCACAGTCATGTGGGCCCTTGCTAGACCATGGAAAAGCTAGGGTCATGGACTAGGATGTTCTACCCTGAGTTCCCAGCATTAGCAGATTCCGTCTGGAAAGTAGCCAGACCTGACCAGGGCCCTACTCTGCTCCTTTTGCCACCCTCATGATAGTTGGCCTCTCAGACACTCTCGTGCTGTCATCTTCACATGCCCTGTGATGTGAAATAATCCTTCTGTATCTTTTCTTTTTTTCTTTTTTTTTTTTTTTTAATGTGGATTGGCGTTTTGCCATGGGTGTCAGGTCCCCTGGAACTGGAGGTATAAACAGTTGTGAGCCGCCATGTGGGTGCAGGGAATTGAACCTGGGTTCTCTGAAAGAGCAGTCAGGTCAGTGCTCTTAACCTCTGAGCCATCTCTCCAGTCCTGGAATAATCCTGCACGCGGTGACAATGTGTTGCTCTCATTGTTAAAAAAAATTGCTGATTGGCCAATAGCTAGGCAGCATTTTCAGGGCACAGAGAATGCTGGGAAGAAAAACGGCAGCATATAGATTAATAGAAATGGGTTGATTTAAATGGTAAGGACTGACTAAAAACAAGCCTTAATAACAAGTCTCCATGTGCTTATCTGGAAGCTGGCAGGCAGGACTGAAAAGTCTGCCTACATCTGGTGCCCAACGTCCAGCCACGTATATCCACATAAGACCTAAAAAGGCCTAAAAAAAAAAGTGTACTTCTCCAAGACATACCTATTCTAAAACAGTTTCAGATAAAAATATTATACACCCAGTTGCTTGGCTTCAGATGCTACAGCCATCTCAGTAATTACTTCTCTCAAAGGAGCACAACTGCCATGGACATTTCTGGCAGGGCACGGAGACAGATGTGATTCTAGACACTGGCCACATCATCTCCAGAGAAAAAAATGCAAGTCATTTTGAACGTTTCAGAAGAGCAACGTGGGCAATAATTTTGACCTGCTTACAGCCATCGCTGCCAAAGCTCTGTGCTCTGCTGAGGCAGCACTCTCTCGAGTTTACAAAGGGTTAGCCTGAGGGTGGGAGCCCTACAAGATGGACATCCTAAATCCAAAGCTGGTATCCCTCTCCAGTAACTCCTAAGACCTCAGAAGCCCCAGTATATAATCGAGCAGGCTCAGGAGTGTTCTGAGTGGAGATTGCCCCCTCACTACAACAAATACAGCTCAGAGAGTACAGCAATCAGTGTGCATGCACAGAGCCTCTATCAATAGAGATCTTCCAAGCTTTGAGGTGTGTCTCCTCTGACATCTGTGATGGAGGCCATGACATGTAAGAGCACTGCTATTTTCTTTAAACTAGACGTGAATGGGGAGAACATCTGCTCCTCCGTGCTTGTGTCCATCGTTTACCTGCTGCTGCTGCTGCTGCTGCTGCTGCTGCTGGAAACGAGGAGGAAGGGACTTCTGATACTTGAACTCCTGTGCAGGGGACCCAGCTTCCCTGACTTCTTCCTCAATGCTGCTACTGCTGCTGCTGCTGCTCTGATCCACTGCAGGGGACATTGCAGGTGTCTCTTCTAAGAACATGGTGGGTGTTTCTTGGACGGGGAATTCTGGAGAGCCTAGAATAGTCAGGCAAAAAAAACATCACAGTGAGTTCATAGGAGCTTGTCCTGCCAACAGGGGCTGACTAACCGTATGTTCAGAGCAGTGTTTGCACTGCTGCCTCCATAGGCTCCCAGGCCTGCGGTCTCCACGCAAGCTGTAAACACTGACATCACATGTGTGAAAGCACAGCTGCATTTGCCTGCACCAGAGGACACTGCTAGCGGCAGACTGCCAAACACCTCCACAGATATTTCCAGGGGCTGAACTACCAGACCACATCTCCTAACAAGAATAGATCTGAGCTCACAGAGGAGCGTTTCCTAGAATACAGCTGATGGCTTTCCTGGAGAATATCCCAGTCTTGCTGTTCTCACAGACTGTTCACAGCCTCACCGCAGCCACACCAGCCACTTCTTTTGAAGTGTATTCCAACATTTGGAAAGGCCCTCTTTTGCTTCCTATAAAATAATGCTCTTTGTCAAGGTTCTCAATCGTCTGTTAGGCTGAGCAGCACATGAAGAGTGACAGCAGCCATAATTACAACATGACTTTTCTGAATGCCACAAGTTTCAAGAAAGGTGCCGGACATAGGCTCTGCACATACTGGCAGGCAGATAGGCTGGCAGGCAGACAGACAGACAGACAAACAGCTTTTTGGGATTTATTTTTTTTAATATATGTGTATGAGTGTTTTACCTGCATGGATTTTGTGTGTGCCTGGTACATAGGGAGATGAGAAGAGAGCATTAGATCCTAACAAGTGGTGTTAGAGATGGTTGTGAGGCACCATGTGAGTGTTGGGAATTAACCAGCAGCCAGTGCTGACTGAGCCGGGTCTCCAGCCCCACATTCTGAAATAAACTTATTCATGTGTCTGTGTATTAGTGCATGCACACATACATCATAGCATGTATAACTGGCCAGAGAATGACTCGTGGCTACCTATACTCTCCTTCCACCATGCTCTGTCAGGCTTAAGGGCAATCCTGAGGTACCTTGTCAAGGTATTTCCCTAACTAGTTAAAAAGTTGAGATGGGGCTGGGAAGATGACTAAGCAGGTGAAGACACTTAGTGCACAATCCTAGAGACCTGAGTTCAACCCTCTGAACCCATTTAAAAGTGGATGAGGAGAATCAGGACAAAGGTGTCCTCTGACCTCCACATATATACTTTGTCTCATACACATAGACAGACAGACAGATGCGCGCGTGCGCACAAAGAGAGAGACACAGTGTGGGGGGGAGGGGGGGGAGTAGAGCTGGAACCAGACCGAACCCAGACAAAGTTCAGGAATTCTCTGTAGAGCAACTGGTCCTGTCTCTGCCTCCCGAGGGCTAGAAGTGAAAGTGTGTGCCACCACGGCCACCCAGGCTTACACTTCTAAAAACTGATGCTTCCCAGCAGAGTATGTTTTTATCCACAGGTGTTAATACTTCATAGCCAGTGAGGTGCATATAACATTGTGGGGACATAGAAGGTTCAAGGCTCCCCACTGTGGGATAGGGAAGCCTCTCACCTTTGCGGACAACAGGACCGTTCTCCTGTGGGGAGACCTTGTCAGTGCCAGGGGATCGGGGGACCTCCTTCTCTACTGGCTTTGGGGCCTCACTGGCCTTCTGGGCCTGCTTGCACTTCTGGTCCAGTTGCTTGAGTTTGGCTGCACAAGCTGCCAGCCTCTCCTCGCGGGCCCGGCGCTCTTCCTCTTCCCTGCGCTTTCGGGCTCGCTCCACAGCCTCTGACATCTCTGACTGGATGAACTTCTGCCGTGGGGGTGGCTTGTCCTCCTTGTCCTCAATAGAGTGTTGTCGGAATATGCTGCCCATTGTGGGCTTCTGCCAAAAGAAGGAGGGAGTAAGGTTTGGGTCAGAAACCTGAGGCAATGGCTGCTTCCCTCCCACTGAGATGGACACTAGGAAAACAATACATGACTCTCAGTGTCTCCAAGGGGCACAGGGGGTCCCTAACATGAGAACACATAACCCTACATTGTGACTTCAAATTGATGCTTCTACATTAATGAGAAGGCGTGACAACAAACACTTCTTTTGGATAGTTTCTCCATCCTTGAGTCTCCTGCTGATTGTCAGTTACAATATAAGCAGGATGCTGAGGGTGCCCTGGGAAAATGCTCTCAACAGAAAGATGCCTCACTAGTCTGCCGGGAGTGACTAATGCTGCTACAGGCACTGAGTAGCAGAAACCACTGGAGGGGAGCTGATTCTCAGACACACAAAATGAGTTCCTGTTTTGAATGATGATGGCCAGACAGGTGTGTGCCAAGGTCAAAGACAGCTAAACAGGGCTGGGTGGTGGCAGCCACGCCTTTAGTCCTAGCACTTAGGAGACAGAGGCAGGCAGATCTCTGAATATTTGAGGTAATCCTGGTCTAGACTTTCAGGACAGCCAGAGCTACACAGAAAAAAACCTGTCTGGAAAATCGAAACAAACAAAACAAAGAACAGAGAGAGAGAAATGGCAGGGTTCTCCCTTCTCTTGTAGGCTAATCACACCTCTATATAAGAAATACACATTGGTGATAATTAGAATTTCCTCCTAAAAGCTTATTTCTTGTGATCCAGAAGCATTCCAATGATGTGAGGTTATAAACTCCAAAGTAAGTTCAGACACACCCTTGCATACCACTCACTGGACCAAAGATACACTTTTCTTTCACTATGCCACTAAATAAACCATCTGCAAATGCTTTGGAAATGGCTATTCAGTGACCATTTCACGCTTCTCTGATAAGCCACCTGATCAGCACAAATCAACCTTTGTTCAGTCTTCAAAACACAGAAAATGTTTTTATGTGTATATGTGAGTATAGGTAGCCATAAAGGTAGCGTCAGATTCCTCAGAGAAAGGTGTGAGCTGTTAGACATAGGTGCTGTGCATTCATCTCAGGCATTCTCAACACCTGGGCTAACACTTCAGACCTTTACATTAAAAAAAAAAAAGTATCTCTCTCTCTCTCTCTCTCTCTCTCTCTCTCTCTCTCTGTGTGTGTGTGTGTGTGTGTGTGTGTGTGTGTGTGTGTGTGTGTGTGCGGTGTGCGCATTATAGGCAACAACTTTTGGGACAGTTTACCTCTTTGACCATCTGGGTGCTGGGCATTGAACTCGGGTCCTCAGGCTTGTCAGCAGTCTCCTTTACCAACTGAGCCATCCCAGAACCTACATTTGTGCATTCTGGTTTTTTGGTTTTTTTAAGATTAATTTTTATTAAGTTATGTGTTTAAGTCTGTGTGGGTATGTGCACATGAGTGCATGTGCCAGCAAAGACCAGAGGTGTTCAGATGTCCTGGAGCTGGACTTATAGGTAGTAGGAGCAACCTGATGTGAGTTCTGGGAATTAAACTCAGATCGACTGGAGTCAATGGGTGTTACCCATTGAGCCAGTTCTTCAATCCAATTTTATGAATTCTTAAACCTGATTATCTCCTGTACATAGAACTGAAACAGACTCAAAGGGCCCACATTCATTATAAAGCCTTCAGCAACAGGGTATCTCTCCCGGAGGGGCAGCACAATGGCTGTGTACTCTGACTTGTATACTTGTATACTCCATAGTCAGCACAGTATCCAGGCACACAGTGGAGACGGGACAGGACGGAAAGGCCTGAACAGTACCTATGAAGAGCCACAGGAGTGAAAAACATGTTTCCCGTGAGAATTCCTAACAATACCTGTCTCTTTCCCAGCATTTGTTCACCCACAAATCACTGGGTGTTGCAAAAAAGGTGGGTGTGTCAGCTGCTAGGGAAGCACAGAGTCTCTGTAGGTGGCCAGAGCCCAGTAAGGTGCGAGGTATACCACATGAGTGGCAGCGTGGTTTGGGACAACCATAGAATAGGGCATGGCATGGAAATTCAGGCCATTATAGAGTAAAGATGACACGTCTGAGAGCTGCGGAGGGCATCTTTGTGATGGAAACTGTTCACACACATGAACCAACCAGTACACATTAGTGTTAGGGACAGTGTGACTTCTGTGGGAAGAAGAAGTTATACATATGTACCAAGGGGCTGAGAATATAGCTCAGTGGGTCAAAGTGCTTATTGTGAAAGTGTGAGGAGCCAAATTCAAATTCCAGAAGCCATGTAGAAGCCAGATGAACCTCAATAATCCCACAGGGATGGGAACCAGAGACAATTCCCAGAAACTCTTGGGCCAGCTAGCTGGGCAAGCTCAGGGGAAAAACAACAAAGACCCCATCTTAAACAAGATGGAAAGAAAGCAAAGATGGACACCAAGGCTGTCTTCTGACTTCCACAGGCACCCGGAAGAATGTGGGCTCCTGCACAGGCACACGCACATGCACACTCATACGTGCATGCACAGTGTCTAAGTTTCCCCCACCACTCAAAGGAGCCAAGAGTCCTTAGGAGTACTGACCCCAGAAACTGCAAGACCCAGGACAGCAGAGGGCCTGGATCTGGATGAGTCTGGAAGGAGTTATTCCTCAGAAAGTAAGGAAGATCTCAAAGTAAGGTAAGAAACGAGGAAGGACCCACACCAGGCAACTGGATGACCAGCTGCTGAAATAAATGAGTAAACTGAAAGTATGATGAATGGGGGCTAATGAGATGGCTCAGTAGGTCAGAGTGCTTGCTCGCAAGCCTGTTGTTGATCTGATGTCAATCCACAGAACTTGCATGAAACTGAAAATGAAGAAGAGACTCCACAAACACGAACTCCCATACACATACCATACATACACCAAGGTTTAAGTATGAATAATGGGCTAGGCAGTCTCCCCACACTTCTCATCAATCACATTCACCAGAGCCAGGACAAGTCCAGAAAACAGTCAGAGAGGAGGGCCTTGGACCTGACCAGGAGCAAGCACCAGCTCAAGCCAATCTGAGGAGCCTGTCTTCTTCCAAAGCACGCAGGCCATGAGAACTTGGGAAAGGCTGAGTGAGTTGCAGTGATCACAGGTGAGGTCACACATACAGGGCTTCAGTGGGATCAATGGCTGTGAATGTGCCACACAGATGTAGAAAAACACACTTCCTGCTTGGATTCTGGCTCTTTAAAAAACAAAAAAACACCACTGTCTGGGCCAGAAGACAATACTAGCATGGCTGGTAGTGAGAGCTGCTATCCAGAGAGGTGGCACATTTTCAGTCAGCCAGGAAAACAGCCTCTCACTATGTAGCTGCTGGCTAGCCTGCAACTTACTACATAGACCGGGCTGGTCTTGAATTCATGAAGCACTTATCTCTGCCTCCTGAGTGCAAGGATTAAAGGCATGTGTTACCATGCTAGCCAGTCTTTATATTTAATTCAAGTTTTCTATAAACTTTGTTATTATTTCAAAGGAAGGGCTAGCCACACAGTTCAGAGGGTAGAACATTTATTTGTCTTGAAGCTTAATAATGTGAGTCTGACCTCTCCCTCTCCCTCTCTCTCTCTCTGTGTGTGTGTGTGTGTGTGTGTGTGTGTGTGTGTGTGTGTGTGTGTGTATAAAAGGAGGAAGAGAGAGTGAGCAAGAGACCCTAGGCCCCTGTACCTGGTAGTCGGGGCCAGATGGCCAGCTGTGCAGCTTCCGGGAAGGAGGCGGAGGCTCTGGAACCTTTCGGACTACACGGGTCACACTTGCTGCTTCTCCCCAGTCCTTTCCTTCCTCTGGAGTGCGCTTGGCATCAGCACTGTCTGCAGAGCTCAGTGACAGCTCCCGCTGCCGCCTTGGGTCCCAGCTGTTCCTAGGACAAATACCAACCTATAAGTTTCCCCAGACACAAGTCTGTCTGACCTCATTGGTCAGGAGCCTCTGGGAATCCCGAAGATAGCTATTACACCAATTTATAGACTAATTTCCTTCAACACTGCACTCATGTCCTTTATATGTGAACTACAAAATTCAGGCCCAGCATTTACCAAGCTCAAAAGCCCCCAGGAGGCATGTAATTCATCACCCATCCTTGATGGCAAAGACAAGGCCTACTTGCTCACATTAAAAGAGCTGGGAAGTGGGGCTGGAGAGCTGTTAAGAGCACCAGCTGCTTTGCAGAGGACCCCTGTTCAGGGTCCAGCATGCATATGGTGGCTCAAAGAAAGCCATCTGTAACTCCACCTCTAGGAGATCCAGTGCCCTCCCTGACCTCCACAACACCACATGCATGTGATGCACAAAAATATATACGGGCAAAATACTCATACACATAAAGTAAAATTAATAAAAAAAATCCTAAGGACCTGGGCCCGTGCCTCAGAAAGGTGAAAGGAACTGCCACAGCAGAAGACAAAAGAGCAGAGCTGGTACTCTGCCTCAGTCTCCAGCTCCCTCCTCCCCGGCTCACCCTAGGGCAAGTGCCCACCCAGAGCTCTGCAAAGCAGCAAAAGGCAAATACTTTTAAAAAAGGCCTTCACAGTGAACAGCAAGAATATAGACAATGCACCAGTGTAGAAAAGAAGACAGTTCCCAAAAAGGCTGCACTGAAGGCTCTGTAGAGGAAGAGGGTGTGCTGAACAGAGCAAAGGCCTGGGGCCAAACACAGCCATAGCCATATATGCACAGGTATCAAGAAGGCCTAGCATGTTCACACATATACCACACGCACACAAAACTTTAAAACAATAAAAAAAAAAAGTTGAAAAAAACAAAAGAAACAAATAAACCCACTAAAGGAATTGGAGTACAACATTGTATTTTCCAAAGAACTTTAAGTAAACTAGGCCAATGGGAATGATCCACAAAAGGAGGAGGCAGAAAAGATGCAGGCAACCTGCACACACCTGCTCCCGCACCTCCCCAGTGTGCTGTTGAAGAGTCCAGCCTCCGAGAGTTCCTCTATTAACAGAGATGAACCTGAGGTGGCTTCCCACAAAAGCTTCTCAAAGTGCCACAACATCAACAATCTGAGACATTAGGTGCAGAGTTCCAAGGACCAGGGCACAGAACCTAGATGATCAAGCCTGGATGCAAAGCTTGCCTGACATCTCAGCAGACCTCACCTCATCCTTGAAACCAAGAACCACTCCTAGCAGAGAGAACACCAGGCAGCAGCACAAACTAGGGAGTGCTGGTTTCTGATGGACCCATGCTAGGAGCCGGGGCTGGAGGACTTACCACTTTGACCGCCCATCCTTCACAACTTCCTCCTCATCTTCATCATCACTGAACTTCAGTTTCTCAGAATAGTCCACTTCCTCATGGAGGCCTGCAACAGCCAAGTGGACCCAGGAAGATGAGAAAACATGAGGATGACAGTGTCTCCCAGAGTACCACAAAACAGTCAAAAATTTGAGCCTGTGGTGCCCCAACTGAGGTGATGGGCTGCTCACCCTGCCTGGCTGCCACCCCTGCAGGTACTAAGGAAGCAGAGTCCTGAGTTCCAGTAAGAGTGATGGCCTGGGTAACAGTAACCCTCTGACAGACAAGTTTTAAATCAAGACAAACAGAAATTCTCCCTATGTAACCCAGACTCTCACAGAATCAGTTCTCCTGGCCAGCCTCCAGAATGCTGGGGTTGCAGGCATACACCATCACACCAATCTGAAAATATAATTCAAGGAGGAAGAAAAGAAGACAAGAACCCTAACCCAGACCATTCATGCAACACAGATGCTCTGTCAGAGAGGTTTTTATTGTCTTATGCCCCACACTGACTGGCACAGGCAGGGAAAGTGGCCATAACTGATGGACAAAATGTGGTAGTCCAGTAGACTATAATCTGGCGATAAAAATGAATGTGGGTGAATAGGGAGGTGATCAGTGAGTGCTTATCACACAAACATGAGGAGCCGAGTGCTATCTACCTGAATGTCAGACATTAAGTGCATGCCTGCAACAGGTGGAACCCAGAGGCTTGCTGACCAGCAAACCAGGATAAAATGCTAAACTCAGGGTTAAGTGAAAGACCCTGTCTCAGAAGTAAGGCAGAGGGTTGGAGTGACGGCTCAGTGGTTAAGAGCTCTTGCTACTCTTGCAGAAGAGCAGGGTCCAGTTCCTGGTGCTCTATGGTGGCTCAAAACCATCTGTAACCCAGTTCTAGGGGGTGCAATAAACGTATGTCGTGCATATGCATGCATGCTGGCAAAATAGTCAAACACATAAAATGAGTAAATCTAAAATAAATAAAAAAGTTTATGAGGTAGAGAAGAAAGTGAGGAAGAAGTTCTATATCAACTTGTGGCTTCAACCCTGACCCCCAAACCACACAGCATATACACACAAATAAATGAGTTAATTAAATAAAGAACGACAGTATTAACAAAGCACAAGAGATTCAAATCAAGAAACAACTAGAAAACACCATGAGATGTGCAAAGCCAAGAGATTAAATACCAAAGTATTTCAAATAAATGCATCAGAAGCCCAACAGATTTAAAGATGGAAATATGCAAATCCACAATCAGAGCAGAAGTTTAATCTATCACAGTCCAGTCCAAGATACACCCAAACAAAACAGCAGTACGTAGCTTAGTCATGAAGGACTCACTACACTGCCTATCACACACAGGGCTTTTAAGCACACTGGGATACTGTCTAGGACAGATGGTCCTGGCCACAAAACAGGTCTCACTGGGCAGTGATGGCACACGATTTTAATCCCAGTACTCGGGAGGCGGAGGCAAGCAGATCTATGAGTTTGAGGTCAGCCTGGTCTACAGAGCAAGTTCCAGGACAGCCAGGGCTACACAGAGAAATCCTGTCTTGAAAACAAACAAACCTATAAGTTTTACATCCAAGCACTAATCAGGCCTGACCCTACTAACTGAGCCACACACCCAAGTTCCATGCAACAACTACCATTATTAAAAAGAGACAGGGTTTTATTTATAGTCCCAGACTTGTCTCAAGTAATCCTCTAGCCTTAGTAGCCCAAGCAGCTAGGGCTGAGTCTACAGGATAAACCAACACTTCTCCCTGTGTATGTGTTGGGGTGGGGTAAGGGGAGTATATAAATGGCTGGGCTAGTGAACTCAACAACTTCCTTGCACACACTAAGTAGGCCCTCTGACCATGAATAAGATTATCAGAAAACATTATGATCCTCTCTACTGAGCTGAAACACAGCCTGGCAGTTTGTTAAGATGATATGTATTACACTTGCAGAGAATTCAAGTTTGGTGTCCTGTATCTGTCTATAACTACAGTTCTAAAGGATCTGGCACCCTCTTCTGGCCTCAGAGTGCATCTGTACTCATGTGCACATAGCCAAACACAGATACATAATCCAAAAGAAAAAAGAAAAAAAAAAAAAAAAAAAAAAAAAAAGAAAGAAAAGAATCGCAGGCATTGGTGGTACACTCCTTTAATCCCAGCACTCGGGAGGCAGGGGCAGGCAGATCTCTGTGAGTTCGAGGCCAGCCTGGTTTAGTGAGCTAGTTCCAGGACAGGATCCAAAGCTACAGAAAAACCATGGCTCAGAAAAACCCAAAAAAAATAAATAAGTAAATCTTTAAAAATAAAGATAGTCTCTCTTCTGACAACTCTATAACACTAATGAGGAAGAACAAACCTAGCAGAGACTCACTGGGATCTTGGAACTCAAGCATCAAGACTGCATGGCTCACCAACGCAGAAGCAGGCTCTTTGTGAATACTGCCAGGGTTGAATCCAAATTTGCAAAAACCAGTTAAGAACTTGAGGAATGAAATTCGAAAAGACACAGGTGGAAAGCTCATACTATCTGAGTTTAAGATTTATTACTGTAAATGACACAGTCTGTGTAAATAATAACATTCAAAATGGACAAGAATTTTCACAGAAGACAATCGACAATGTCTCAACAAGTGTTAACAGTGGGCCAATATCATAGGCACAGGACTATTGGATGCCAGGGCATATCACTACCCTCACGGGAGGCAAAGAATATTCAGACTGGATGCAAAAGGTGATTTAGAAAGATTTGTTTTAGTTTTACTCATGTGTATGTGTGTATTTTTGTGAATGAATGTCATATGTATAGATAGGTGTCCATGTAAACAGAAGGGGGCACCAGATCCCCAGGAACTGGAGTCACGGACAGCTCTGAGCCACCTGACTTGGGTGCTGGCAACTGAAATCAGGTCCTCTGCAAGAGCAGCAAGTGCCTTTAACCACTACACTCTCTAGCCATGCCTAACTCCTGTTTTTGTTTCTGGTTCTTTTGTTTTAGGTTGGTTTTTGGTTTTTCAAGACACAGTTTCTCTTTGTACTCCAGGCTGTCCTGGAATTTGCTTTGTAGACCAGGATGGTCTCAGAGATTTAGAAAGCCACCAGCCTCTGCCTGTGTGCTGGGATTAAAGGCCTGTGCCACCACACTGGGATAGGTATTTTGTTTTGTTTGTTTTTAATTTATTTGCTTATTTTTATTACATATACAATGTTCTATATGCATATCTGCCCGCTCACCAGAAGAGGGCACCAGATCTTATGATAGATGGTTGTGAGTCACCATGTGGTTGCTGGGAATTGAACTTTTAACCTCTGAGCCATCTCTCCAACCCCTTGGCTTTTGTTTTCTGAGACAGGGTTTCTCTGTGTAGCCTTGGCTGTCCTGGAACTCACTCTGTAGCCCAGGCTGGCCTCAAACTCACAGAGACCCATCTGCAGATTTTTAAAATGTGTGTTTTGCCTGTCTGTGGAGCCTTAAAAGGGTCAGATACTCTGAAATTGGAACTACAGACAATTAAGAGCTGCCATGTAGGTTCTGGGAATGGAATCCAGTTCCCCTACAAAAGCAGCCAGTGCTCTCTTAACCGTGAGCCACCTCTCTAGAGCCCCCAAGACACTACTCTCTGAACAGTCCTGGCTGTCCCGGAATTTGTTCTGTAGAATAGGCAGGCCTTGAACTCACAGAGATCTGCCTGCCTCCACCTTTCAGTGCTGGGTTAAAGGTGTGTGCCACCATGGCTGCTCTTGATGTTAATTCTAAAGGGATAAAGAAAGCAAGTGTGCCAATACATCACAGGAGCCAACAGAAACTACTAATGATAATACAAATGCTGACAAATATCAGACTGTCAGATAAGAAACAGTACAACCCCGTCAGTAGAGCAGGTGGAGCACCATTCACCCCAGCACCCGAGAAGACAGCAGAACCTGAGTTGGATCCCTAAGACACATATGGAAGAAAGAAAACCAATTTCCAAGACATCCCCCTGACTACATGTATGCCATGACACAGGAATACAAGCCCACATGCACACACAAATACCCCAGAAAAATAAATAAATGTGACTTAGGAAAACTTTTCTCTTTTTAAAGGGAAGGGAAGCTCCTTGGGACTGTGTAAACACACAGCCCAGCACGTGTGAGTGTGATCCTCACCATGGGATAGAGGATTTCCAGCCATTAAAAGTAGTACATACAAGCTCAACAGCACAATCTCTCACAGCTCTACAATTAGGAGCATAGACCAAAAGAAGATTCTACTTAGCCAGGGAATGCCCTCTGGTCTGACTGCACTTAAGGGCACACTGGTGCCACACAGCTACTGTCTCTCTTGCCACCCACCTGCCCAACCATCGTCTGCATCGGTGTCCAGATCATCCAGGCCCTTCAGGTTTTCTGCATTGATGATAGTGGGCCGTGGTGCCCGCTCCACCAGCTGCCTCAGTGGGCGCACTGGGCGTGCCAGGCCTGGCCTTTCTTTCCTGATGAGACACAGAATGATGGGCTCACATGACTTATAGGCGGAAGCAATCACTTTCCAAAAACAGGGTCCACCTTGCAGAGTGGTGTCTGAGTGAGTATCTATATTACTTCCTTTTAGAAGAAATATGCAAAGAACAATTAAAAACATTGTAGACTCCTACCCCACCACACCTGCACGTTCTCTCTCCAGAGCACAAAAAACATTCATGCGTGAGTCGTTATACAAGGGTACACTTGATCACAAGCTCACAGCCTTACCCTTCTTGGTCATTCATCTGGAACTGCCTAAAAGGAACCCGAGGTTCCAGTCGGAGCTGAGGAAGGGGGCAGGAGCTTCGTTCCCCTGTACCCTGGTTCTCTGATGACTGTGGCGAACACATCTGAAATACATGTGGCAGTGAGTCTGACTTTCTGGAGATGGCCCAATCACATGTTAAATAAGAATTCATTTGCGAAGTGGAAAATGGGGGGACCCCACAGAAAAGGCTGGAGTGTTTCTCATATATCACAGCATAACACTCCATCTCCCTTGGGTTCAATAAAACTGAACACCTAGCTCTTCTTTTTTTTTTTTCTAAAGAACCAAAGCTACAATGGCATCTAAGCCCCTGGGGCAGGAGTCAGAAGCAGTTTGGAAAGGCAGCATGGATCTGCATTGGGCCACTGTGGTCTCTCTAGCTGTTGACCTGAGCCAGTTCTAGTGGACAGAAAGAACGGAAATTCTGCTTTGGGACTAGAGGCTCTGAAGACTTACAAAAGCAGGAAGCATGTCATGGTATGTGGGAGGCTGGTAAGTATGTCCCATGAACTGTGAGGCCCCTTTGCGGATGGGCTGGGCCGGGCGGAGAGAGGGGTCCTTAGATTCACTGATGCATGCCGAGGAGGGGGCTCCATCTCCCGAACTGGAGTTCCTGCTGCCCAGCTCTGTTGGGGAGGCATTCAGGGACGTGGTAGAAATGATGTTGCGCCCACCACCCTCCCGCCAGCTTGTCACATCTGTAAATTGGAAAGGGACAAAAGAGAAGATAGGGAAGGGAGATTTGTCAAGTTCTCAAGGTCAATGGAAACTACTCCTTGCTTTAAAAAAAAAAAAAAAAAATCACAATGAAAACAGGAAAAAAAAATATCGAAGTGCTCTGAGGGAAAGTGGGAAGCAGAAAGCTAGAATTTCTTGAGGACATCAGATATATGCCTGAGGAATTCCGAGAGGTCCACTTCAGAGAGACACATGCATAAACTGGCTTCCCTATGGCTGCCATCACACTCACCCAGAGGGCAGAATACAAAGACAACATTGCCCTACCCACCAAGACCCCTGACATGGGCTCACTTTTACCACAGTCTGATGTGATGCTTTTGTTCTGTGCTGAGCTGCAGCATGGTCCAGTGAGCCTCAGCCTGAAATGTTGGTACCATGTGATCACATGCAGCATGCATGAAGCACACACTCGGTTCATAGGTAAAAACCGGAGGATGGAGATGGTGTGGTGCTTTCAGTGGGTAAAAGTGCTTGCTGCCAAGCCAATGACCTTAGCTCCATCCCCAGGACCCCAGTGATAGAAGGGGAGAATCACCTCCTTACCTCCACATGCATGCGGTGGTATGTGTGTCCCCCTACCCCAAGAACACACAAAAAATAAAATATTTTTGTTTCAATTTTTGTTTTTCAAGACAGGGTTTCTCAGAATTGTTTTGGAGCCTGTCCTGGAACTTGCTCTGTAGATCAGGCTGGCTTTGAACTCACAGAGATCCGCCTGCCTCTGCCTCTGCCTCTCAAGTGCTGGAATTAAAGGCATGTGCCACCAACGCCCGGCTACAAAATAAAATCTTAAAAAATTTAAAAACCTGACAACTATCTGTCCCTACAAGAGTGTACTTCTCATGGCCACATGACGGCAACCCCTACAGGAGCCACCAAAAGAGGGACAGAGCACTCCTAGACCCAACACAAGACTGCCTTTTCTTCTTTGAATCAGGGTCTCACTGTCTGGCTTAGAGCTCACTGTGTAGACCAAACTAACCTCAAACTCAAGAGATCCGCCTGTCCCTGCCTCCCAAGTGCTGGGACTAAGCGTGTGCACCACACCTGGCCAGACTGGTTTTTCTTATGCACCACTTTATTGATTTATAAATCTACTCCAACAGAAGACAAACGCAATAGGTTCCACTTCCACAACAGTGTACAATGGTCTGCAGATGTGGCTGGCCACAGGTAACTCAAAATCCACAAAAAGAACTACATACAATGGTACTAATGTGGGGGGCCACAGAGGAACAGCTCCAGCTCCTCTCCCTTCTCTTCTGCTTAGACTGAGAGGGGAAGGGACACAGCACTTGCCCCCCGAAAGAGAAAAGCCAGCCAGGCCATTTTGCTGCCATTAGTCATCCTGGGATGCCAAGATTACCGCTCAGGCCATCTGCTTCTCACCTTCTCAAGAGAAGGAGCTGCTCTAGAAGCTGCTTCTACTTCCACACTTTAGCCCAGGGGTAACCCATCTTAGTTAGGGTAAGGCTATTCTGAACACTTAACTATCCACTTTGAGCATTGTGAACACTCAGCAAAGCCCATGTTTTGGCAGAGTGGCAGGGTGGTCGCTCAGCTTTCAGGACAGTGCCTCTGACTTGTCATCAGTAGTACAGGAGAGGAGTTGGGACTGTACAAGGCAGGCAGAAAAAAGCCCTTCGAATTTCAAGACCTGAACCAAGGACATAGCTCAGCTTCCTTGGTCAAGTCGGACAGAAAAACCCAGATTTTTTTTTTTTTTTTTTGAGACAGGGTTTCTCTATGTATCTCTGGCTGTCCTGGCACCATCCAGCTTAATGGAAGCAATAACAGATGGTGAATGGACAGTGAAAAGAGCTGGTTCGGCCAAAGGGATGAGAAACAGAGGTGAGGGACAGGCCAGAGAGGCAGTCAGAACATGCATATGTCAAGCTAGCAACCTGTTTCCTTGTTGCCATACGTAGGCCCAGCAGTTGGGGCCACCTGGAAAGGCCAAAAAAAAAAAAAAAAGGCAGGGGCCTAGTGCCCATGAGGGCCTGAAGACAAAGCTGCCATTCACTCACTCTGAGGGCGGAGGCTTGGTCCTGGCCCATACGACAGATCTAAGACGCCCTTTTCTTTGCCAGCCTTGTCCTGCCCTCCAGCTGCTTTCAGCGTCGGAAATTCCTCGGGAGAGAAGGATAACAGTCGGCTTGAGCCCCTTAAACCTGTCGAGAGAGGCAGAGAAGACACAAAGAGTGATCGAGATAGCCAGTCCATACCCCTTGGCTGCTTTCCTAGCCCCACAAGGCCTGGACTGGCTGTAAGCCAGCAGTGTTTGGGGCACCTGCACTGGCAGGCATGCACAATGACCTCTGCTCCAGCACATGTCCCTTTCCACCCCATAGGAGTTAGCTGGTACATGTGCCTGCTCAGGTGGTGGGCAAGCACAATCCATAAAATCAACTCCTGAAGAAAACTGCCTCAGGTGGGGCCACACCAATAGATGCTCCCATAAGACTGTGTCCTATCTGTCATTCCTGAGAGTCACAGGCTTACCTCCTCAACCTTTTCCAGCCCTGCAATGCCAAATGTGGTCCTGATTTACGCCCAAAACCATTTCTTTCTTCAACTGTCTTTCACTGCTAACTACAAACCCTTCGGAAGGAACAGCCCTGTTTCAGCTTCAACCCTGACATAGATCCTGTGACTTCCTAGAGAAGCAGAAGAAAATGGCCCTTTGAAGGTCCAGGTTGGAAACTGGTCCTCTCTCAACTACACAGCCCATGTAGAGTGCCACACAACTGAACTAAAACACCACACCAGTGTCCTGCTGTAGTCAAACTACTCCCTGTACGGACAAGCCATACCCCTAAGTTTTCAGTACAATAAATACATCTGGTGACTGAAACAGGCTCACCCAGAGAAATGGATGGGGTCACCACAGCACTGCCAGACTAAGGTCGTTCACCACTAGGCTCAATGAAAAGGCTCAGTCAGGGCAGCCTGCCAAGTGATGGCATCAACTATAGACAGAAATGACTAAGGTGGGAGACTGATTTTAAATGTCAGCCTGACACAGTTTAGAATCACTTGGTAAAGGGGTCTCAAGAAAGGGCTGTTTAGACCAGGGTGGCTTCTAAGCATATCTGTGGGAGATAATTTTGATTATATTAATTGGGCAGGAAGCCCCATCCATTATGGATGGCAGTATTCCCTGGACGTGGGACTGTGGAAAAGCAGCCAGGCACTGGTGATGCATGCCTTTAATCCCAGCATTCAGGACCAGAGGCAGATGGATCTTTCTGAGTTCAAAGCCAACCTAGTCTAAGCAGTCCCCGCACAGCCTGGGCAGTTAGAGAAAGAATCCCTGTCTCATAAAACCAAGAGTGGAAAAGCAAGCTGAGCACTAGCATTCACCATTCATTCATTCATTCTTTTTTGCTCTCTGCTCTTGACTGCAGAGTGACCTGCCATCTTAACTGGAATTCTAAGTTAAATAAACCCTTTCTTCATTAAGTCACTTTTGTTGAGGTTATTTTATCACAACATGAAACAAAACTAAGACAGAGTGAGACAACCTCACACCAGCACACTATTATTGATCCTTAAGATTTCAGCGCTTTATATTTGTCACCCAAGTGGTCAGGCCAAGCCACACAAGGGGGAGGGCAAATACCTCACACCTTAGACCTCTGCCCTGGCACATGCAATGCATGCCTGGTCAACCAAGTTTAGATTCCTGGCATCTATGTGAAAATCTGGGCATAATGGCCAGATGTGTAATTCAAGTACTCACTAGGAGGCAGACAGAACTGTCTAGAAGCTCCTGGGTCAGTAGGCTTGGTATATACAGTGCAATGACAAGAAATGAGATCCCATTTCTACAAGGTGGAAGATGAGAACTGACTGCAGGAAGCTGTCCTCTGACCCCCACACGTGTGCATTATGGCACAAGTGAATCTGCACTTACGCACATGCATGCACGCACGCACGCACAAATTTTTTAAAAGCCAGGCATAATAATGTGCACTTAGAACCAGGAGTCTTTTTTTTTTAAAATGATTTATGTATTTTTATCTGCATTTGGGTGTTTTGCTTGCATTTATTTATGTGAAGGTGTCAGACCCCTTGGAACTGGAATTGCAGACAGTTGTGAGCTGCCATGTGGATGCTTGGAATTGAATCTGGGCCCTCTGGAAGGGCAGCCATCTCTCCAGCCCCCAGAAAATGCTTCTGAAGATTGGTCAGTAGGCAAGTCTATGGAGCATTTTCATGATTACTGATTGATGTAAGGGACCCAGCTGACTGGGGACATTGCCACCACTGGGCAAATTAGATATAAAAAACTGAATAAGCCAGGGGAGCAAGCCAGTAAGCAGCATTCCTCTAAGACTTCTGCTTCAGTTCCTGACTCCAGATTCTTGGATTCCTGCCAGAAGTTCCCATACAGACTTCCATTCACAATGGGCTATAAGCTAAAATAAACACTTTCTTCCAAGTCACTTTTGATCATGTTGTCACAGCAACAGAAAGGAATTTAAGACAGTGAGCTTCAAGGGAGAGACTCAAAAAAATGAGGAATGACACTCAAAATTATCCTCTGACCTTCACACACACATGCATGTTGTGGAATTTTATTTAACTATGTAAAGATGTGTTACATTTCTTTATGCTTCATTTGTTTAACTAAGTAAAGATGTGTTACATTTCTTTATGCTTCATTTGTTTAACTAAGTAAAGATGTGTTGCTGTTTTACCTTGCCTGCCTAAGGCACCTATTTGGTCTAATAAAAAGCGGAATGGCCAATAGCTAGGCAGCAGAGGGATAGAAAGGGCTGATGAACACAAATTAAATAGGAAAAGAGAAGGGAGAAGAGAACAAAGGAGAAAGAGGAAGATGCCCAGGGCCAACTGGGCAGCCAACAGGCAAACATGGAGTAAGACATATACAGAATGAAAGAAAGCCCCATGGCAAAATGTAAATGAAGAAAAACAGGTTAAATTAAGTTATAAGAGCTAGTGGGACAAGTGTAAGCTAAGGCTGAGCATCCATAACTAATTATTAAGCTCCCTGTCTTTATTTGGGAGCTGGTTGGTGTTCCAAAAGAATGCATGCTACAAGCACACCTTTAGTCCCAGCACTCAGGAGGCAGAGGCAGACAAATCCTTGTGAGTTCAAGGCTAGCCTGGTCTACAAATCAAGTTCCAGGACAGGTTCCAAAAACGTTACACAGAGAAACCGTGTCTTCCCCCCTCCAAAAAAAAAGCCTGCTACATATGCACACATCATATACCCACATAACCACATGAGCATGGAAGCATGCACATATATACAAGAACACCTAGCCTTCATATGGAGTGTGTCCTCTCGGGCACAGCTGACTGCACAGAAGCCACTCTCCTATAGCCGCGGTTGCCTACCCTTCCCGTTTTCACCATTATCTCACCTCCATCAGCAAAGTGATCTCACGGTGTGCAGCCAAGCCAACCCCCCTCAGAAAGAAGCCACGCACATTCTGACAAGTCTGCAATGCCTTGCAAGACCCTGGGGCACTAACTTCTAGCTCTGTGAAGGCTGTCCTCCCCATCACAGTGGATTCCTGCCAGCCCCAATTAACACAGAGACTCTGCATTTGATATAATCTATTGGCCCGTTACTAATTTCTTATCGGCTAGTTCTGTCTTAAGTATTAACCCATTTCTATGTATTTCCACATGGTCTTCTTACCAGGGAAAGGGGCCAGCATCTCGTCTCCCCAGTCTCTCCATCTTGGCTCCTCCTTACTACTTCCTCTTTCCTCCTTGTCTCCCACTCCCTCCTATCTTCCTTTCCTATTGGCCAACAGTGCTTTATTCATTAACCAGTATAAAAAACATATACAGAATGACATCTCCCATCAGTCATCCACCTACACTGTCTTACACGCTAGTGAACTGAGCTACCACTCAAGTGTGGCAAAGTCCTGGCTGAAGGAGACCCTTAAGAGTAGGAAGGTACCCCCAGAGCAGAGGACAAGAATCACAAATTGCCAGGGCTGTTTCCCCAAAAAAAGAGCAACTTCAGGTTCCAACAATTTGCACCTTGGAGTTATCCCTGGCACTGGCATCATTCTCCCTCACAGGCAGGAGTTACCAATGGGACAGCACTGTGCAGGAATACACCAGCTAATGTGGAAAAACTAGAAGACTTAATGTAGAAAAACCTGGATTCCTGCTGTTCTCAAAACCAACAGCTGGTGGCTGGAGAGATGGCTCAGAGGTTAAGAGCAATCTTTCAGAGGTCCTGGGTTCAATTCCCAGCACCCACATGGTAGCTCACAACCATCTATAACTGTAGTCCCTGGGGATCAGATGACCTCTTCTGGTGTACAGACAAAAAATCCATATCCATAGAAATACATAAATCTTAAAAAAAATAAACTACCTGCTGCCTCTGGGCTCACCTCCTCCAAAGCTGCAGGAACTGTCCATCTGCACAGGACTCCCCAGACCGCTTCACATAGTCAGGAGTCTGCCTTGGAAGCTCCTGGACGCCTCACCCTGCAGTGCATCACCCTTTCGTCTATTTCCATGAACAACTCTGCACAGTGGGCTGATGACCTTTTCAGACCTCCTGCCAGTCAATCCCACCCATTCCTCCAAAGGCTTTGGGCAAATGTCTACAAGTAGCTGCTCCTTCCCATACTGGCTTACTCTATACTTAATCCTGGAGCTAGGGCTAGTACCAGACCAACGAGGAAGAAGCAGCTGGGTGGCAGAAATTAGCCCTAGCAGGGCATTTGCCTGAAGGATCACAGGCAGAGTTGAGGTTTTTCTGCCCAACTCAAAAGGAACACTTCCAATAGCCAATATTAAAGTCAGCCCACCCAAGCCACCCACACCCACTTACCACCTTCGTGTCCGACTGGCTTTCCACTCAGCTGTGCCCATGACTTTGGTCCACCTGGCACTGAATTTGTGTTCTAAGAGAAAGGAAACAAGGAAAGCCAGCTCAGCCAACCTGCCATGCAACTGAGCGCCTTGGAATGTGGCACTCAGAGCTGTGGCAGAGCTCACTGGCAGAGCACTGGCCTGGCATTTACAGGCGTTTACAGAGCAAAGAAAGGGCAGGGTGAGAATTGCATTTTAGACTCAGGCTTCATGCAGAGGACATATGGCCACTTTTGTGGCTCTTAGAGTAAAAGTCCTAGGCAGAGTCAGGAGCTTGGGGCCCAGAGCAGCATAGCTGATGAGCAAATACAGAAGACTCAACCCACACCCGCCCTCATGCCCAACGCTGCAAACATTGTCAGGCTGTCCCAAGCCCACACAGAGCTGTGTTGGCTTGCTCCAAGAGACAAAACTCCATCCCCAATTTCAGCACGCATCTTAATCTGTGCCAGGGATAACTGAAGAGCATACACAAGAAACCTAACATGCCCAACCATGATGACTGTTGGTCTTCACAGCCTGACGCCCAAGACGCCTTTGTCTTCTACTCACCCACACTTGCCTGCCTCAGCCAAAGCCCTACTATAGCAGTCTCTGTCATGAAGCTAGCAACTTGGGAATCAAGTGAAATCCCACCATACCTCTAGAAGAGTCTGGTCAGATTTCAAGTGAGATTCGGGAGTGAGTGACACAGACTTGGCACTAGTGATAGCACCCAGCCTTACCCACTGCACCCATGCAGAAAATGCCTTGTCTGCCAGCCCTGAGCACAGACAAGGGCTTCACTGGGTACTATGCCAAGTCTGCAGAGGTCTCCTGACCACACAGAACATGCCCAAAGGGCAATAGGGCATGCAGTTGAGTCTTGATGACCTCTTGTAAGCAGAGGGGCATTAGGGTTGGGGTCATTCTCCTTCCCCAATTGGAACCACACACCTGACCCATGTCTATAGCCCCAGAGTTACACAGCCCTTACCAGGAATATTAATGGAAGAATGCCAATAATACTGGTGATTTCTATTTCAAAAGCAGTGGACTGTAACTCCCAAGACCTTTTGAAAGTAATAAGTTGTAAGGTGTCCCTCTTCCCTTCCCTCAAGTTAGAGAAAACCCCAGAGGCATCTGAGAAGAGTTGAGTGCTAGATGAAATGACCTGTGTGGGACAGGTTCCTTCCTCCACTGGCCCAAACGGCCGAAGGACATACCCTTCTCACAGGGTGTTCATTCAGGACCCTATCCAGGTTTCAGAGACAAGGGCTAGGGCCCAAGTGTGTTTACTAAGCTCTACATGGCTAAATCTGAAGCACCAGGAGTTAGAATCCTACTTGGCTTTAAAACTGGGAAAGAAAAGGAATTCAACTCCACAAGTGACTTCACAGGCCCAAGGGGTTGCAGCCAGTGTGTATGGAATCTGATGGAGCTTTCATGCTAGAGAGGAAGGTGTCCTGGAGAAGCCATGGCTCCTCTGACACAAACTCTTCCAGTCACAGCAGATGACAGCATCATATTATCCAACAGACAAGACACAGTGAAGGTGTCAAGACAGTGGGTGAGGGCTAGAAATGGTAGCACTTGTCTTTAACCCCAACAAAAGCCAAAAGCAAGACTAGGCAGATGGATCTCTGTGAGCCTGAGACCAGACTGGTCTATATGTTCCAGGTCAGCCAGGGATACATAGTAGGACCTTGTCCCAAAAAAGCAGGGGGAGGAGGGCAAAAAAGCATGGGGCATTTCTGCAGCCTGGCATTTCCTGTACTCTCAGGACACTAGTGTCCGCCGAGCACATTAGAAAGTACTGACCCAGCCTGGAGTCAGTGACCTGCTCAATGTATACCCAAGCAAGCAAAAACCTGTGCTCCTGTGCCACCATCATTTCCCAAGTAACACCCACCAGGCCTCAGCAAGTCAGGGCAGGGTCCCCAGCACCTACCTCCTGACTGATTGACTGTGTCGGTTTCTGCAAATTGGAGACAGATTTCTGCAAACCCGGCTGCGGCTGCGACTCCGGCGGCTGAGAGGCTGTCACACTGGAACTAGAAGAGGGCAGGATATATAGTGGGGTCAGACTCTACACAAGACATCTATCAGCCTGCCACAGCAATGACCATTTTTTGGGCTGATGCAGTGACACTGCCCAGGACATAGGGGAGTCTGATTCTTGCTTCTGATAGCTGTCAAATGAACTTAAAAGAAGCAATAGAAGATCTGCTGATAGAGAAACTGGTGTGAGGGGCCTAAGCTCTACTCCTGACCCAGCTGCCCTGCTTTGAGACTCAATGGGGTGTCTACCATGCTTTAGTGCTGAAAAGAAATGCATGCTCTCAGTAGAAGAAACATAAAAATAAGTAACAGACATTACCACCTCATTTCCCAGACATAAGCTCCGATCCCAGATTTTCCTATACATATATTCATGTAATATTTTTAATACAAGATAGCCCTGTATATATGATTCCAGTCTATTACAGGTTTTTATATAATTATAAGCTACCTTTAATGGTGACTAACTGCAGTTGGATGAGCCATAAGTTAATCAGTTTCTGTTCCCCTTTCTTCACCATTACAGAGAGAACTGCCACAAACACTTTACACACACAGGTCTTTGGGCACTCCCTGTCAAAGAGTCATACAACATGTGGATGAAGCTGATGGACCAAGACTCCTTGACATTTAAAAGCTATCACAAACTGCCTTCCACAGGCTGCACTGTGTGCCCACCTGTCTGAGAGGAAATAGGAAGGGTGTGTGGAGCCTTCCACTCTGCTTCAGCACCTTGCACTTGACAGCCTTAGACAAGCTAGCTGCCCACTTGGTAAGGACAGTGGTTGCCAGGGGCTCATCTGAGAGCCAAACTCTACAGACACACTGCTTCAAGGTCACCGGACCCCAGTCACAAGAATGACAAAAAGACACTGGCCTTCCCTCTCATGTCACCTAACCTAGAACAGGCTTCCAGCTGGTGGCACCCCTGTGTCCCCAAACCTAGGCCCTAAGTCCCACCACAGGAGACCAGACCGGGCTCCTACTTCACTTCTTCCCCAGTGGGTGGCGTCACCAGGGTGTCAGGCACTGCCCCTGCCACTGCTATGAGACTGAAGAGGAGGGAGTAGCACTTTCTGGCCTCGTCTCTCTGCAGCTCCCACTGTACTGTAGCACATCTGCTTCATCTCAGAGCTGATGGACGACGACAACAGCTGGCATGCCTCTGTGCCAAGTTGTTATTTATCCCGTGGGTGCATCACATGGTGGCTACCCCTGGAGCTAGGGACTGACTCCCCCTTGAAGGTGGGGCCCTGGGGCTCAGAAGTGAACTAATTCCCCAAATCCCAACAAGCCACAAATGGCCTGACTGGAAACAGCACACAAGGCCAATCTAAATGATCAGGTTCTACCTGCCTATCAACAACAGTCCTCACAAACTGCCTGCAAAATATTGCTTTGTTTTGTTTTTGTTTGAGACAAGAGTCTCTCCATTTAGCCCTGGCTGGCCTAGAATTCACTATGTAGACCAGGTTGGCCTTGAACTCAGAGATATGACTCTCTTTATTCCCTGAGCAACGAGGTTAAACATATACACTACCATCACTGGCTGCAAACTGTTTAAACAGCTCAGGGCCCATTTCAAACACTCGCACAGAATATCAACTGGCTGCATAGTTTCCTCACACTACACCCCTTTGCCATAGTGCAGGGACAGTGTCCCCAGAGTTTCCAAGGCCATTTCCAGCACAAGCTTGAAAGATGGGGGACTGTATGTCAGGCTACACGCTGGTTCACTGTCACTCACTGTCTAGTCCCTATGTCATCAGAATGAATGGACCACATTGGACAGACACAAGGTCGAGGGTAAAGGAGACCGGATTGTCTTGGTTGTCATGCTCAGTAGCAAGCTCCAGCAGAAGGCTTCTGCCTCTGGAGCCCCTCCCTGGACATGGCTTCCTCCCCAAAAGGAAGAGATCAAGACATGCAGAGGCTCAGAGATCAAAGATGGCTCATCATCTGTGGGCCCGTGCAGCTCAAGTGTCTGGCTGTCTCTCTAGAGACACACATCCCAGGGCTTGAGTCTCCTAAGGCTGCAGCTGCCAAGCTACAGTCTCACAACACGGAGTACACAGGCCCCAGCTCCAACCCAGTGGCTCTCAGAGGACAAACTGAATCACTGCACACACTCCCTTGGGGATTTGGGAGTTATCCAGAGAAATGCTATTCCTCAGCTTAAAGGCCCAGGCAAACAAAGTCAAAGAGCAAAGTGCACGCAGTCAAAGAGAAGCCTGGCCATGTTTCTTACTCCTAGCTCTTCCCCTTCCAGGTCACAACTGCCTCCTGCAGAGCAGAAGATGCAAGCAAGGAGTGAGACACACCCATTCCCGATCACCCATCCCTACACACACGCGCGCACAGACACACAGACACACAGACACACAGACACACAGACACACAGACACACACACACACACACACACACACACACACACACACACAAAGAATCATCACCCTCCTGCTGCTCACCTCTTTGGGTCTTGCTGGTCCTGCTTGTTGGCCCATCCTGTCCCGTCCTTGGGTACTATCACGATGTTGGGGTCGTTTCCTTTGTTTTCAGATTTCAGGCTTGGCAGGTTTGCAGGCGGTGGCATACGCCGGGCTGTGGCAACTTTCCCGAGACTCTGTAAGCCATGTCTAGGAATAACTGTAAAGAAAAGCGGATGGGACAAAACACACACCTCACAGGAGGAACGAGGTCAATTGCCACCTCTGCTCACCCTCCAAGTGAGAAAAACAAAGCCAAGCAAAGACAAGTGCCTGGCAGTCATTCAGGCCCCTGCCAGCTCCTCCCCAGACTGCAGAGACAAAGGGCCGCTGGATCTGCACAGGCTCTCATTCGACTATGGCAGGAGGCAGCTGGGAGCTCATGCCAGGGAGGAGCCAGGTCAGGTACAGGAAGATCAGCCCACAATGACCACCCCTGAACCATGACATGGCCTGGCAGCAAGAACCCCCAAGAAGACCTTGTGGGTGGCAACAAGTCCTACATGAACTTATTCCACCAGGTTCCGAAAAGTCAAAACCTATAAATTAAAGGGGGAAAGGCTACAGACATGCTCTGTCATTTCACCCAGCAACCAACTGGCTAGTCTACAGGGACACAGCTGCCTGGCCAGGTGTCTGGACATCTTACAAGAGAAGGAAGCATAAAAGGGGCCTTTGGCCAGGCCTTACCTGAGGATCTGACCGAGCCTACTGATCTCCCCTTATACTTGTCAAACAGGCTGAGAGTCGAATACTTGCTTTTCCCATCCTTGCCCTGGGTTATTTGCCCCAAACGATCGGACATTGCGATGAAATGTCATCTAGTAAGGAAATTTTTCTCGACACCGCTCCCGATTTGCCTTTGGAATAAAAAAGAGGGGGTCAGTTACCAGTCCTCCAATTCAGAGGAGGGAATCCTACAGAAATCAAAGACATCATCCTACAATGCACAGACAGCCATGGACTGTCCCAAGAAAAATGCCCTCAGCATTTACTACCCACAGGTGGTCTCTTTAGGTGGCTGGCGCTGCTGACAGCCCGGGCTACCCCACCCCCATTAATAACTTGCTGATGAGACAAGCTGGAGTCTGCTGCCATGGCCATACTATTAATAGATTTTGACATACTTGGTCACTCACCAAGACAGAAAACAATACTCCTGACTTCTAGATCAAACAAACTTCAGCAATTGAGACTAATGGCGGTGCACAGCCCACCTGAGCCAGAGATGCAGAGCCTGAGGGACCAAACCCCATCATGGGAAACCCACCACAGCAAGTGACCTGGGGGCCAGGTAAATGCTCAGTAAGGTAAAAAGCCAGCACCTGGAGAACAGCAGCCATGCAACAGAGTGGGTTGCGGGTAAGAAACTGCACCAGCAACTCCTCTCCACTCAGACAAAACCTCAAGAGACTAGAAGAAAGATCCCATCTTTCCCATGAGTCTATTAGCACTCTCCTTGTTTGCCCAATACTTAACACATTCTTTCCTTCCCACATTAAGTGGCCCTCACCCCAGTATTAGTGAGTTCTGTGCTCAATGAAACTGAGACTAAGACTGACCTACTCTACACTCAGCCTTGACTAAAGATGAACTTGACGCCTGCTCAAGGGACATGGCTTCCTAACTTTGGGAGCAAACCCACTGAGCATTACAATCCTTCATGGCCTTACAGGGTGACTACATGGTGACTGAGAGGTGGGTGTCACAGTGAGATCTGTGACTCTGTGATTCTGTCCTGAAGCTACCCAGGCTAGAAGAACATATCAGTGTATCTGGGAGGCATTTTAATCCAATAGGATGACCTTTGTTTTATTCATTCGTTTTGTTTATTTGGGTGGTTGGTTTTCTGAGACAAGAGTTTCTCTGTAAAACAGTCCTGGCTGTACTGGAACTCACTCTGTAGACCAGGCTGGCCTCAAACTCAGAGATCCACCTGCCTCTGCCTCCCAAGTGCTGGGATTAAAGGCATGTGCCACCACTGTACACAGCTAAGATACTGTTTAAGACAGATGTCTACAATGTGACCTTAGACTATAAAGCACGGGGAGCAACAATCTGCTACAACAGGCACTAAAAACAAAAAACTGAGACAGCATTGACATCACATCTGTGCAGAATGAGCTGTGAATCCCCCAACACATACATCAAAGTCACAGGTGTCAGCTTGGCACAAACCAGGTTTTACCATACTTCATTCCATTAACCAACACTGTACCTGAGACTGCAGGAGTGGATGAGCACACAGTATGTGCCAGGAAATGCCCTTAAGGAATGCATGGGGGAGCTGCAGACACAATCTAGTAGGTAAAGGCACTGGCTGAAAAGCCTAGAGGGCTGATGCCCAGAACCCGCAGTGGCAGGACAAAAGCAACTCCGGAAGTTGTTCTGATCTCCACATGCACACCACGTGTAGGTGTATACACACACATTAATCTTAATAATCTTAATTTTAAAATGCAAACGGGGGTAGAACTCATGTGTGGGGACATCCCTCTGGCCATCTTGGCACTCTCCCCTCAGGGAAAGACAGCCACTCTGGCTATATATTAATTCCCTTCCTCATTCAATCCTAGCCCACAGATGTGAGAAATCTTCCAGCACTTGATGGGTCAAAGAGAGTGAGAGCCCTCAGTTCCAGGTCCTGCCAAGGGTTAGCTTTGTGCATCAGGAGCAATGAGCAGCTATGACCATGGCAGGAGCTGGCCTGAGGTATCTGACACAAAAAGATAAATTTGACGTGTGGTGACTTACACATGCAGGCAAGACAGTGCCTGTCACCATGACAGACACTGATGACAACCTGAGTTTTACCCTCAGAACCTTTAGTGTGGAAAGAACCAACTGCCACAAGTTGTCCTCTGAATTCCACATGTCCCCCATACGAAGTATGTGTAAAATTAAAAAAATAAAGTTTTGAAAAAGTTGATCACGTTCTCTGTGAGCGAGGCCAGCCTGGTCTACAGAGCAAGTTCCAGAACAGCTAGGACTGTTACACAGAGAAACCCTGTCTCAAAAAACAAAATAAAAAGTTGATCACATTGGGGACAGTGGTGGCACACACCTTTAATTCCAACACTCCAGAGACAGACATATCTCTGGAAGTTAAAGAAAAGTCTGGTTTACAGTGTGAGTTCCAAGGCAGCCAAGGCTATACAGAGAAACCCTGTCTCGAAAACAAAACAAAACAAACAAACAAATAAAAGTTGATCTCAAAGAAGTAGAAAGAAGCCAGGTGTTGGCGGTGCACAACTTTAATCCAAGAGGCAGAGGCAGGAGGCTCTCTGTTAAGTTTGAGGCCAGCCTGGTCTACAGAGCGAGCTCCTGGACAGCAGAATAAGCTCCAAAGCTACAGAGAAACTCTGTTTCAGGGGGGAAAAAAACAAACAAACAAACAAAAACAAAAACAAAAAAAGTAGAGAGAAAAGCAGTGTCTACCAGAGGCTGGGAAGGGGGAGGGGTGGAATAAATCTTAATTGTCTGGAGTGGAGCAGGAAAGCTAGGGTGGATAACAAAGGGGTATTTCAAAACAGCAAGTAGAGGATATAGAGTGTCCTACTCAAATAAACAACCAATTTCTGCAGTGACAGATCTGTTAGCTACTCCGATCTAATGGTCACACATTGCACACACATACTGAGATGTCATACCACATTCCAGAAACAGACAACTGCCTTGCCAAAAATAAAAATACAGGCGCTGGAGGCAAAACTTAGTGGTTGCAATCACTGCCCGCTCTTCCAGAGGACCCAGGATTGAATCCCAGCACCAGATTCAGGGGAATCTAACACCCTTTTCTAGACTCCACGGACGACAGGCACACACACAGTACACAGTCGATTTCTTTATAAACTGGATAGGATCTAGGTAGTATATACTTCTGTCAACTCAGACTGATAATTTCAAATGGAAGAGATTACTTGGGTAGCAATCCCCAACACAGCCAGACATCCATGGTGGCACATGCCTAGAATCCCATGCACATGCAGAAGCTAAAGCAGGAGATTGAGGCTTCAGGGTCAGCCTCAAGATTCTGCCTTTAAAAACAAAACTGTGGAGTGACAGCCCAGATGGTTAAGAGTGCTTACTGCTCTTGCAGATGACCCTGCTTCAGTTCCCAGCACCCACCTGGTGCCTTACAGCCACCACTGCCTGGCCTCCAGGCCACCTGCACATGTGCAGTGCATGCTCTCACACACAACTGAAATTGTTACGAAAAAGATCAGTATATGCCAGATGCCTTACCCTGACACAGTCCTGGGATGGTCGCATGGTCGGACCTGAACTCTGCCTCACAGGGCAGCGTCCAATCTGAAACACAGGATAGCAATAACCTATCTTTGTACACTTAAGACAAAAATGGTAGATTTTTGTTTGTTGTAACATTTGCTTCAAAGAAATGCAAATACCACTGGGCATGACACATGCTTTTAATCTCAGCACTTGAGATGGAAAGGCAGGTGGATCTCTGTGAGTTCCAGGCCAGCCAGAACTACACAGAGCAACCCTGTCTCAGAAAAACAAAAGAAAAAGGAGAGAGAGAGGTATGTAACGTCAAGGGTAGGGTAGAGTAGGACCTGTCACCGGACACTGTCCAGAAGCATCGAGATGGATTACAAACAGGAACTGGGGGTGGGTTTGTTCAGTGCTGTGTGTCCCTCAACCAAGAACAAGAGTCTTGTTCCCAGAGCCTGATGGCAAAAGGTCTGCAGGTATTGTTGAGCTAAGTCCTGGGTAGCACGCAGCATGCATGATGGAGTCATGAGAATGAGAAGTCCTACAACAAGAGTAGAGGGTCAGTCAGGAGGTGGGATCATGAGGTGCAGAGCACAGGCCTCCAAGGCTGGGAGAGGACAGGGAGTGGATTCTTCCCCCAGAGCCTTCAGCACAAGGCAGCCCTGCTGCCAGCAGCTCAGGTTTCTAAACATTAGAGTAGAAGAGACGAAATCTGTGTTTCAAGCCACAAAAGCGGAGGCTAGCACATGCATGTACTATACAGCCAACACAAGGCTAACCCTGGAACATAACAGGACAAACTGGGCATAACCACACCTCACAGCCAGCTTAGGAGGCGCCACATATTCTCTTGCCTTGATACAAGGACACACACTAAATGCCACTAAATGGCAACCACAGTTCTGTGGTCCCTGACCTCTGAGAATGATCAGTGATTCCCTGTCCGGGAATGTCCTTCCTAGTAACATCGTGTACAGGGCTAGACTTAGCACCATTAGCTTAAAATCTGATGAACTCTTCTCCAAAATAAAAAAAGAGGATAAGGAAAAAAAACAGAAACATAAGGGGACATTGGCAAAAAGGGAACATGGGACCTTTGAAGTCATTCTTGTGTAGTATAGATGGCTTTTATACCAAAGTAATATTTCACAGACCAGAAACCTGAGTATACCCTGCCAGACACTACAAGCATAGGCCTAGCCCGCTCTTGAGTCTTGAGAATTTAAAAGTATCTGGGAGGTGATGGTCTGCCTCCAACTGCTTGTTGAACTGTGTGTCCCCAGTAAATTCAGCCACTCAAAAAGCATTGTGTACCTGTGATGACTTGAGTGTGAGCAGGAGGGTGTCTGGGTAAACTCAACCACAGGGAACACGGGCCTGCATCACAGCAGGGTGGAGTACAGCAAGCTCACTGAGTTTTGCACCTACTGCCCACACCGTTGATTTGGCCAGACTTAAGTCACCTCACTGCTAAACAACTAGTCAAGAACTCTCAAGTGCAGGCCAGTGCCAGCCAAGTACACCCATGTGACTCTTCTGTGCTAACCCAGCCATGTCTTCCCATGCACTGGGGGTGTACAGAAACAACCGCCAGGGGAAGGACCTGGCATGTGTTTCTCCAGCA